TTTGATAGACATTGTCATTAATACTAACATTCTGATCAATCAAATAATCAGCTATAGGCTAATTTGATCTTACAGAACATTAAAATACAAATATACAGATAGGTACAAATATAAAATCATCAAATCATTAATATTATAAATGAGAATATTTGTAAAGTTGTTGGTATGTTTGAATGTTTATGTGTTTGTTACTCAATTAGTTTACTTAGACGACTGAACGAATTTTAAAAAGTTTGATGAACTGGTGGGTATATCCTAATTTAAGACAGGAGATAATTTACTGATTAACATGGACAAAACCATAATAGACACTAATATAAACTACCTTTCATCTATTTTTACAAATATCAAAACATCGAGGTCGACTATAAGTGAACTACGAACGTTGACCAATAGTGGACAAACAAACTATATCTATGCGGGACAGATGCCATCGATGAAGTTTAAACCGAATTATTAATTGACATCCACTCTGATAAGCTTTTACATGCTGTGAAACTTAATACTACAGGCGTAGGTAATGTCCATTAAGTGCAAAGATATAATGATGTATTTTTATGGTGCGTTCTAAACAAGATTTATTATAATGATATGCCAATTGTGTGGGTGTACCTATCACATGTAAATATAAAAAGATCCTAACGATATTTTAAAACGATATCTCTGTAACTATCTACAATTGTCAACTATTAAGTAAGTATGTTCTGTTCTGATGCGCCTTAACAAATATTCGTATAATATTCTTTTAATTTTTTTAACTAAACTAAACAAAAATAAATAAACTCTTATAAAAATAAAATTAATCATCATAAAAATACTGAAATCTATTGCGGGTCATGTCACGAGGATAATTTCCATCATATAAAATAAACAAACGTAGCCTTTACGAGCTATGACAAATCTGAATTACAATCATAACCTTTGTCCAGCGCATTCTTGACGCATTCGGGGCAATAAAATAACTCATGTCCAATTTATGTTAATACAATAAATAGTGACATAAATAATTCTAAACGAACGCCCAGAAGACAATTTATGTAAGAGTGCTGTCTTTAAAGTGGCAACTATTACAAATTGAAAGATTTGTGCCTTTGGACACACCCTTCTTAAGTGGGTGAAGTGAAATTATTTAAGAGTGGGTATGTATTTACTTTGAGTAACTTTATGAGGTCATTCAGTAATAGAAATCTCTATTTAAATAATTTTGATATTTTTTGTAATTACTACTGATAGCAACAAATTCTACTTCAGTTTATTTTATAACCACTATTTAAATTAGCTTGGAAATTATACACAGCAAGTTATCATTACAAAGCTTCATCAATAAAATTATGTTAAAACAAGGTAACTCCTTCGAATACGTACTTAGTATATATTTGTTTAAGTCACTGTCCACATCAAGGGTATTATAATTTTACCGATTATTATTATATTAATTCTTAAGTTTTACAGTAAACAAAATTATTATCACAAAGGTAGCATCAACTTTATTATATTAATACAACATTAAAAATGGATGAAATAAGACTGAGAGGAGATAGAGTGTAACTTCATCGATTTTGTTGAATACATATTAGTATATTATATATAGTAATTTCTCTTATTAATGTATCTCCATATGCTTAAATTCATATACAATGTTTACAATGAATTATTAATTAATTAATCAATTCTAAAAACAGTAAATTATAATGAATTAATATCAAAGTAAGCAGTAAGGAAAAGAAGGTATAATATAAATTTTGTCTTTATCATGCTCGAATATGTCATACTTTAACATATCCAGAGTACAACGGTTTCATAGAAAGTGTTCACCTGAATGAACATCAACCGCAATTATATAATGACATAGCAAATAATTGTATCAAAAATACAGTTGTATAGAAGGAAAAAGCGACAAACCGACAGATGCTCGCGGCCATCTTGCGGTCGGGGCGCGTAACGCCTTACGTTCGTGACTTTGTGGTCACAATGTCACCATTTAAAATCAAATTTCGGTGATATAATACCGCTAAATTACTTGGTAACGGCCGAATGGAGGTACCAAGCAAATGACGTGCCGAACAACGGATATAACTCTTAATTTAATGCTCTTTGTAGTAATTTCCTAATTAAAATCTTTTTACGCTTTACGAGATATAATTAATGAGTCAACAAAGTAAAAGGGTTACAGAATTAAAATAATAATAACAGTTTACGTCAAATTTATCTACCGGATACATAGGTTAAGGGAATGAAAAATAAAACAGTCAATATGATCCTCACGAGTGAGCTCTCACCCTAATATAAATAAGAAGTGCAATAGAAGTGGATTTAATTTGAAGATTTCCTTCTCTTCTACTGTTATATGATGCTTTGTTAGCTCACTTACCTCTTACGATATCCTGGAGAAGAAAACAAGAGACATAATTACTTAGCGCTATTTTTAATACAACGGTCTCAAATAGACATTCCCTGCATATAATTTCTAGGAGAAATGTTAGTAATGAGCTCATTCCATAACCTGAGCTTTTGCAGGAGAATTAAAAATGCAATGTACTTACGTAACTATTTAAATTCTAAGATTTTTTTTATACAAGTTAGAATGGCAAACAAGTTGACGGCCCACCTGATGGAAAGTGGTAACCATCACCTATAGACATGAGCAGTACTATAGACATAACAGATTTGATAACGAATTGTCTGTTGATGACGAATAAAATATGATTATTCATTAAAAACAGTAGAAAGGTATGGTACCTTAAGTTTTTCAATGCTTACTTGACTTGAACACAGTTAATGCTATATGCATAACATCAATACAACATATTTTTGTAGCTGAGAGGGTAATAAGTACATTATAAGGGTAATAATAAAAACAATAAAATAGACAAGGCGAGAAGCTGTGGACCGTGAAATTGCCATCTGCGTCGCGAACTGCCACGTGCGTGCCCGTACATCGTTGCGTACTCGTACCTACTCATCTAATAACAATTTCTATTTTATTACTCTAATAATCGGCTCCAAGAAACTCTAAACTTAATATTTAGTACAGGTACTCACATCTATATCTTTATTTATTACTCCTAAAAGATTTTAATTGTCACTTTTTGAAACCCAACTATTATATTGTTTAATTAATAAATTGTAGAAATTGTAATGAAATATATTTTGATTTAAAAACTAAACTACTGGAAAGATTTTGACGAAACTTTTATGGGATTAATCTGAAATGTATGTTGTATATTTCAAATAAATAAATATTATGAGGTAATAACGCAAAATATACAACCAAATTGAGAAACACCTCTTTTTTTAAAGTCGGTTTAAAAGAAAACTTTAATCGACACATACACTCTGACATATCAGTCTAATACCAAAGAAATTACATTGGTAGAAAATAAGTTCTGATTTGTAGTGCTCATACCCAATAGGGGATGAAACCATGGTTATAAATAAAACATATGCATACATTTTTTTTATATTTATTGTTTAAAACCGAAATAATTTTACCCTGAATTTCTTGTTTTATTATCTGTGCTTGCAGCATTTGTTATCCATATTTATCTGTCCTTCTCCAGTTTGTTTCAATCGTTATTTCTAAACAAATGTAAATTCAACACATTTCTTATCACTTGGTTAGGCGGTAGGCAATTACCATCAGACGAACCGCATGCTTGTTTGCTTCTGTGTTATAAAAATAAGAATCTAGGATATTTCTGAAAACTATTACCTTATAAATATAGTTTTTTTTTTATACAACTTAAAATGGCAAAAAAGCTAACGGCCCACCTGATGGAAAGTGGTAACCATCGCTTATAGACATGAGCAGTACTATGGACATAACAGAGTATACTGTTTCGCCCATGATACCCCCCATGCGTTGCCATTCCTGAGGACTCAAGTGTTGTTACCCAAGCAAACGACTTTTGTACAAAGTCTCCCTCTGGTAGATATTAAATAATTTATAAATATTTTAAAATATCAACAGGCAAATCGCAAAAACCTAACTCGTTATATTTTTTAATTTTAAGTAAGCATATTAAATTAATATAAGTATATTTCGTCGTAAAAGCCGAAAACGTTGTAAGGCGCAGCCACACCGGGAGTTTATTAATCAAGTGGAGGGACATCTCTTGGCTTAGTGGCATTTTTCTCCAAGGATGTCGTGTTCATTATTTGCTGGGAAGGCGGGCGGCGTGATGAGAAATTAATCCGGGGCAGGTGGCCGCCGCAGGTGCGGTGCGCTGCCAATTTACCACGACGATAAGCTCGCGCCTTCCAGTCTCACTCACGCTTCCGTATCAGGACTGAACCGAGGATATTCTTAAACTGATAATAGAGCCATCTCATTAAAAAATAACAGAGCTCACAATGATTAAACTGCACAAAATCGTCGCTGTAGGTGGCTTTACAATAACATTTCAGATTAGAAAACCGGGTGCAGGCAAAACTGCGACACAATACAAATTGAAGATTTTCCAAAACTAATATTTTATAATTAAGATCATTAAAATATATAATATAAAATCAACTTACAGTAAGTAATCATTACTAATATTTTAAAGATGAAAGTAAGTTTATTTGTTTGTTACTTTATAATGCCATACCGACTTAATCAATCACTATGAAATTTGCTATACACATACTTTTATATTGTATATGGAATGGAGAAGGATATAGGCTACTTTTTATCCAGATCAATAAACGTCCTGGTCACGCGGACGAAGTCGCGGGGAAAAGCTATTTTTCGATTTTTATAATTTCATAGCTATTTTACGATAAATAGTTTCAGCTGTTAAATTAAAGAATAACAGGTGCAGAAAAAACTGCAATAGAATGTAAACCGAAGTTATTCCTAAAGTGATAATTAAACATTACTTTATGAATATCTTCTCTCTATAGCTGTCAAATATAGCTAAGTTACGTATTGAAACTAGTTATGATTTTATAAGAACATTTTATTACAAAGTACTTATAAAATCACAATTGTCGAGTGAGTAATATGTTTACGTTAAAAGGTTTCAGCTGCAAAACTGGAGGAAAGCGGATGTGGATGAGAGCGAGGGAACTGCGGCGCAGTGTAATCCGTACATATCTTGGTACATTGCTCAACGCGACACAGCGGGACTTAGCGAAAAGCCTCGACGCGCAGATGCTTATCTCAATAACAGTTTTATTTATTTTTGCGAGCGACTGATCCACTCCCAACGGAGATTTCTAATGAAAATGGAGAAAAGCAAGTTCGGTAGCGAACGGTTCCATTGCCGTCACCGCAGATTGGGGGCGTTGGGACCTATCGGTGGCTGAATAAAGGAATAGGCAATTTTTCTATTGTGCACATCACATCGCTATGAAGAAAAAGGAGATAGAACGCAATATTAGGATTTTTTAACACAATTAATCCAAATTAGTAGTGTAGATTATTAAAAATAGTCATTACCTTATGATTGTGCAAATAAACAAACACACAAATTTCTTAATCACATATCAAACCAAAAACCAATAATTAAATATTTTTAATTATCTTATTCTTTTTTTTCTTGTTGACAATGATTGTATATATATATATATAGATATATATATATATATATATATATATATATATATATATATATATATATATATATATATATATATATATATATATATATATATATATAGATGTATCCTAATTATATAGAATCATTTTATCCTAATTTTAATGGAGAACCTGAATTACGTTACGTAAGTATAGGTAAAATAAAGGTTTGGCTTTCAAAACTTGGACAGTTTACTATGTAGGTGCAATAAATAAGTAAAACTAAAAAGTTTTTTTAAACTTAGGCAAGAGAGAGGCAAAAGTAAAAAAGGCCGACAACGCACAAGCAACTCCTCTCGTGTTGTAAATGTTCATGGACGACGGTAGCCGTTTTCCATTAGGTGAACCGTCTGTCCGTTTGCCTCCCTAACAATAAAAAAGTCAACATTATAATAAAATGTCGACATCACAAACTTGCAAGTGTAGCAACGTTGAATGTTGGAAATTTATTTAGTCGCGAATTAACGAGCGCTCCACTCGTAAAGTTGACTTCGTGTGTCGTAAAGGTTGTAAATCACATCACATGAGTTATCGAAAAGAAGCATTACATCTTCAAAGGAAAATATTTAAAGTGTCTGTTTCAGAAAAAGAATGTACATGCAGGTAAATCCTTAATCTATGATTGTAAATAAAAGTCCAATAATTTGATTCAAGCATAGACTTAGTATAACGTACTTACGTATTATCTAAGGATATAAGTAATTTCTGTGTAAATGGATACTAAAAAGCTAATAGATACCTTTAAATTAATTTTCTCGTAATATTTTGTACACGCTTCTGATTATCTCGTTTATCCCATGTAAGCATATATATATTTTTATAAGTGTAAAATAATATGGCACATCAAAATCACTTCAGTCATAGATATACAATACTACTACTCATAGATGTAGTATAAAGTACTACGTACTGACTTAATACGTAAGTACGTTATAGTAAGTCTATCGTACTGTCAAACTGATCACAAAAACTAGACAAAATTTACACTAGTGTACGTGTTTTATAAATGTGTACACATGACAGTTCAAAATTTATATAGAATTGAAATTGTAACAGTATATAAATATAAATTCACATATTTAGTACTATTTAAATTTCAATTCGTGAAAGTTCAAAACTATATTTAGGTTTTATAATTAGATAGAAAATATTTCTGCTTGTTCTACAATAAATTGCATTTAAAGAGATAAATATTTTAAGCGTAATTAATTACACGAAAAATGTGCACGTTTGTAGTATTATTTTTTTTAATTTATTTCAGTACAACACAACTGATTCCAACTACATTCACTTCTAATTCCACTTCAAAACGTTAAAATAATTATAACTTGTTTTGTTCACACTTCCGCCAAATCAGCTTCGAGCTTATATTGTGTAGATAAATGTCCTACGCGTCTATCTCGCGCTAACATATATGTTATTACGTTTTCTCTTTCATATTGCCAATGTATATACTCTTAAAAACTAATTATCTCATACGTCTACATGCCTACCTACCGATTACTACGCGACATACTGTGTTCGCTACGATTACGCCTACGTGAAGACATCCGAAAATACTTTTGTGATACATACTTTAAACTACTAATAATATTAATATTTTGTATATGAAAATATACAATGGGTTAAAAATTGAATGTAAGTAACTATTAATAGTTAACTAGTCAACTGCGATAGTTGAGAGGTGAAGAATCGACTTAATAAAATTAAGATATCCAAATACATTTAAAAAAAAAAAATTCAAAATTATATCATAAATTCGTAAAAAATCTTAATCGTAAATTATTAATATAAGCAAGAACTTCACATGTCAGAATTGAAAGTCGTACATGTACCAGATATTTATTACTTACTGGTTATTACCAAAATGTTATTAAATAAAATTAATAAGTTATTAATAAGTACTTATATTACTTTATTACTTGCAGGCAAATATTTTAACATGGTGATTGGCCACTCGTTAAAGCGAATTCTCCTGAGATACCGTAAAATACATAGAGGTGAAAAATCTTGCGGTGGCTGGCGACCGCATTATGTAGCTAGGTAGAAGCGCACCATCTAATTAGGTCATTTGCCATAATTGCTAGCTCCAGATTGGTTTTTTTCACGTCGACACATCCCCCGGGACTCGAGAGATACTTGGTCTAATGAACACTACCGACACTAAGACTTGAATAAAAAACCAATGGAATAGCCACCATGCCTCTTAAGTGCCTCTCTTTTTGGTTAACTCCTTCTTTAAGATTCGTTTGGCGAAAAAATAGACGAAATTAAAATTTAATTAAATGCAAAATACACATTTTTGGGTACCTATTTTATAAGTTTCGGAGTAATACATTGCAAGCGTAGGGACCTACAATGTAAATATGGTTTGTTTCAATAGATGGTATGGAAAATATAAATATAAACAGTCTGCTAATAACCAATTGATAAATTAATTAATTATTTAATGTTTCGATTGGTTACAAATTTCAATTAGAAATGTTTCTATTATCATCAATTTGATTAACGTTTCGTTATCCACAATTTACTTATTATTATAAATGTGAAAGTGAATTTGTCTGTTACCTTATAGCGCCTTAACAGTTTAAGCAATAACTATGAAATTTACTCGAACAAAGTCATTGGGTTAAAACTAGTAATAGAATAAACCCACAAATTTGAATCCACATTTGTATTCTTTATTACTCTATTTATCTGCAATACAATGAATCAGTTTCACATAATTGAAGAGCTAGGTTCAATTGCTGGCGGTAGTTGCTTGTTTGGTTCTCTCTTATGTAACTCATCGTGGAGTAGCATTAGGTTTTCATAGTGTTCAGTAGAGGTATCCAGCAGTTCGACGCAGACCCTCATGGCAGCTGCTTGACGCCCTCGTTCCTCTTCCACCGTCGTATCTGTCGCTTGACTCACTGTCAATACTTTCTCTACCATATCATCCAGTCTGAAATAATATCAAAGTTGCTTTATGTAAAATAAACCAAATCTTCATCGAATATTTTTATAATTATTTATATTTTTTATACAACGGAAAATAGCGAACAAATTGACGATTTACCTGATTGAAAGTGGTAACAGCTACCTTTTTTTTTATACAACTTATAATGACAAACAAGCTGACAGCCCACCTGATGGAAAGTGGTAACCGTCGCCTATTGACATGAGCAGTACCATGGACATAACAGAGTATACTGTTTCGCCCATGATACCCCCCATACGTTGCCATTCCTGAGGACTCAGGTGTTATTCCTCTGTACCCAGTAAATTCACGCCATATCCCACCCTTCAAACCGAAACACAACCATGCAAACACACCTGCTTCACGGTTGAAACACGAATGGGACAGAGATACCCAAGCAATCGACTTTTGTACAAAGTCTCCCTCTCTCAAGTCTCCTCTATAAACATGAGCAGCACAATTGACATAGCGAACTATCAGAGAACATCAAAGTTGTTATTCTTGAGAAATAAAACATCAATGATAATACTTATATTAATATCAGTGATAATATATTAATTCGTTTAGGCATTAAGAGATAACAACAAAACTCACTTTTACATTTTTAATTTTAGTAAAGTTAATGAACAATTGAACAATTATATCGATACCTATAAATATAAAGCAACTGTTTATTCCTTTTACCCGATTGCCGAAAGTAACCTAATAACTGGAATTTTGTCTATCTACTGTCTTTACCTTATATTGTATAGTAACTTATTCACTAAATAAAGGATAAAATCGATTATCGCCTATTAATATACGCAAAACAGGAATTGTTAGCAATGGAGTTTGACAGCCCCATTGCTAGCAATATGCCTTATTAGGTCGACCTCCACGTGGTTCCTCCTGGAAACCATCGTAAACAATTCTTGTTGAATTCGTCACGATGGGCTAACTGACCTACTTCATCCTCACCTATCATCCTTCACTGCTACCCCGCCGATGTATACCAATAGCGCGGGTGGGGTTGCCATTCCATTATCATCCACTAAAAAAAATATACGCAAAACAAAAAACAGTTAAGGTATTAAATACCTCTAATGATTTGTTATAGGTATTAAATAATCTATAATAAGCCATTACTTTTAGTTAATTACCTATCGTCATCATCATCATCATATAATATCAGCCGTTACCTGTCCACTGCTGAATATAAGCCTAACTCTTAAAGGGGGTTTTGCTGATAGCTGGCCACGCTTGGCAGGCGGATTTGCAACAGCAGTTAGACTTTAGTGATGTTTTAAGAGAGGCCGTTGTCCATTCCTCGGCAATTAAGTTCCTTTAGTCGCCTCTTACGACACCCACGTGAAAGGAAGGGGTGGCCCATTCTATACCGGCACAAATATTTCATATAAGATAATCTTATTTCTATAACAGACTACCTGCTATGATGCTAAGACGTATTTATTTATTTATTATGACGTACCTAAATGATGTAAATTAATTATTTTGATATACCTACTACAAAAAAAGCTACGAACAATGTTAATTTCTTATTACTGCAATGAGCTAATTAAGTTAAACTACATGGTTATAACTTATAATTTTATTAATAAAATACATAACATTACAATTAAGTACATCATATAACATTACTATGCAATAAATTAAAAATTGTTATAGTGTATATAATGTTGTATAAGCCCGCTCCATCGTCGCATAAGTTAGCAAGCAAATACTTGTGTGTAACTGTACTTATAGTACTACAAAGCAGATTAAAACAAATAGATAATAAACTAACAATCGAATATCATTATGCTATAATATATAGTATATACGAAGATAACTCAATTACTCGAAGATACGCATCTATCTTTGAATAATTAATCTATCTTTCTGTGGATTCAATGAACACAATGACAAACCAGCTTGTTTTGAACTAAAGAGGTTAGTAAAATCTACTTTTGTTAATTTGTTTTAATTATATACTATATATTTTAATATATTTATAATCTGATACTGCTTAGTAGTTTTTATTCACACAAATTTGTTATTTATATAGTTAAACTTTTTGAAAAAAGCAACAGCTGAATTTTCTTATCCGTTCTTCTTGACTGAAATTGTGTTTCAAGTGGGCGGTAATGATTGGCTGCAAAAATGAATATTCAAAAATGTTTAAATCTAAGTTTATTTAAATGATATTTTTTTCTTTCTTTCTTTTTTACCATTCCGTACCTTCATGTAGCCAAAAATTCATTGATGGATGAACACAATCCACTAACTACAGACAGTCCACACTAACCGCTCCAATGTTAAATTATTAAGTTATTTTACGACTGGAATAGTCGGTTTAGTTAAATTTTATGATTAGTCTAAACTTTATCGTACAAAAGTATTTACCAAATTCTTATCATACCTAGTATATACACTTACTGATACGTACAAATTACAGTGTCAAATTTACAATAAAGTTGCAACGATACAAACAAGAAAACTCACTTTCGCTTCCGAATCTCAAGATATAAGCAGAAAAGGATTGCAAGGATGGAAACAACTGCGGCATTGAGCTGTGCCCATGTCAGGTACTGACTAAACAGGTGAAAACGGATGATGTGCACCTTCGGCACCACATCCCATACAGAAAATCCCGGTATTAAAAGGGTTAAGGGCAAAGCAAAAACTATTAAGGTGCCCACCACCACCGTTATATCACATTCATTCCGATTGGCAGACATTACTTTTTGAAAATAAATAGCATATGATTTTGAAATAACATTTTTCTTAAAATGTCAAATAGCAGACAGAATATACGAGTAATAATCGAAAGCGTAAAAAATAGAAACAATTATCAAAGAGTCTGTATTATTCACTAAGAACAAGATTTCTTGTTTTATTAGAAACCTAAGTTTTAAAATTAATAACCAAACAAAACAAACGCTATATATATCGTAAACTTGATATTTAATATCATCATGCAAGTAATATACTCGGGACAGATAAAATCTGACGCTATGTAATAACGTGACATCAAAGGAGCAACGATCATTTTGTGAGCTTTACTACCCAAAAGTTGCGAGGCAGCAAATGGGTGGGCGCAGAAGTTGCGTCCGCCACCGTCCGTCACAGTGCGAGCATGCGAGCTGGCGCTCACTGCTCGCGCGGCATATCAATTTCGACTAGGTACACACAATAAAATTGGACGGTCTCCGGAGAGGGCTTAAACGATTCGCCGTTTTGTCTCGGGGCCCAGCTGCGTAATGACCGGAGCAGGAAAAAATTGTCAGCAAGAAAACGCGAGGGTAGTCGGGTTTATGTGCACGCGGCAGCTGGTGGCACCGGGCGGCGACGCGCTCCTAACGGCCTCTGCTTACCTCGCAAAACCCGCGCCAATTTTATTTATCGAAAATATAAACCGATTTGCGGAGGGCCGTCGTAAATTCTGAACGGCTGATTTATGGCGGTTACAGGACGCGCTTAAAACAAAGTTGCTTCTTAAGTTCTTCCTTACATACACTTTACTTCCTTATATGGACGATAAATGAAAGGAGGACTCATGTTGAGTGTTGAATAACTTAACAGACTTAGGTACATTTGCTATATATGTATTTTTATGGTTTGGTCTCAAATAAAATACTGTACTGTAACTACAATACTAGATTACTAATGTCTCTCTATCTTAGTATCTTAGATATATAAACAATATTTATATATAAATTTACCTACAGTAGTGACTGACTTGAATGCTATTTCCGTAAAGCAGTACCTATTTTACTTTGATCTACGTAACTGAAAACCCGAGATTGATTCTCCGTCGGACGAGTTTTGGAAACACTTTTTGAAGTGAATTAATATTATTCTCTATTATTATTACTTAGTCTATGCTTAGGTCCGGTTTATCTATATTTTTTTAATGGATGATAATGAAATGGTAACCCCATCTGCGTTTATCTATATTAGTAATGAAAAGGCTTTGAGTGTGTTCTGGTTTCCAAAGAGCATATTGCTGGAACTCTTAGCCCATAACATTTCACTATATTGTACTTGAGTGTGTTCTGAAAAAGCGCTGAATCCATAACATTTCACATATACGAGTACCTAGAGTTTGTATATATTAGAGGAAAATAAATAATAGGAACCCAGTGATGTTTTAGTTGTAAATACTGTAATAATAAACACATATGCATATGGAAAACTAATTACTAAAAAGTATTTGCATCAACAATAACATGTACAATATCTGTTTTCTCATTAAAAAGATAATATTTGTTTGTTCTGTCTTCAAATCCACTCCTGTTTCATCTATCAAACAGTAACCAAGGCCAGTTTATACATTCGGCATTATAGGTTATTCCCCAGGGGCCCGTTATCGGCTTGGGCTCCGAGACCTCATAAAATTTTTTTTCAAGATTTTTTTTCAAATGAAAATTACATGTGAGTATTTGTGCCTAATAAACTCTCAAGAAAAATATTATTGATTTTTTTTATATTACATCGTCATGTTTCAGGATAACGTCTTTTAAGTCATTATATGTTGAAAATGTTATAGCAGTTTTTTGTTAATAATACATCGTCATATTTCAGGATAACGTCTTTAAAGTTATTAAATGTTGTTCATGACGCAGTTCATATCTATTGCAGCTGCTACTTTCGATATAGTGGCATTGGTTTGTTTCCAATTCCAAGTTACGTGAAAATATGTTATTATAACAATCGTTTTAATATTAAAAAAAGACTGCCTGTTTCTATACTAATATAAAATCCTATACTAATATAATAAAACAGAAGAGTTTGTTTCTTTGAAAACACTAATCTCTGGAATTACAAATCAGATTTAAATAATTCCTTCTTTTATACAACTTAGAATGGCAAACATGCTGATGGCCCACCTGATGGAAAGTGGTAACCGTCGCCTATAGACATGAGCAGTACTATAGACATAACAGAGTATACTGTTTCGCCCATGATACCCCCATGCGTTGCCATTCCTGAAGACTCAGGTGTTATTCCTCTGTATCCTGTAAATTCACACCATATCCCACTCTTCAAACCGAAACACAGCCATACAAACACAATTGCTTCACGATAGAAACACGAATGGAACAGAGGTATCCAAGCAATCGACTTTTGTACAAAATCTCCCCTCTTTTTGCATTTCATACCTCATTTCTTTATGAATATTTAGATTATTTAACGTTAAAATATGACCACGAACAATACCACGGGATGTAAGTACCTACAATATTTAATTATTCGATGAAGTGACATATCGCGTGCTATTAAACGTATGTAGTTAGGTACCACGGAATTAACAAACTCAGGGTCTGACTAAATCGCAAACAGCTCCCTATGGAAATGTAACAGTGCTGTGTCTAAGGAGACAGGCCACGCGATTCAATTAGTCGATTTGAGGGTTGCGGTTTTGCGTGCCTCCCCTGCCTGCCTCTACCTATACTGAGTCAACAATAAAATGTGTAAAAGACTGTCTACTATAAAACTAACCAATTAATATATAGATAGAAACCCTACCAACACACACTTGTGGAAGGAAATGGATTGTTAGTAATAGGATCTAACTGCCCTCTTGTTAGCATTATACTCTATCGGGTCGACCTCGACGCGGTTCCCCCTGGAAACTACTGTGGTTAATGTTGAATTTATCTCGTTGGACCAACTGACCTGCATTCATCCCTCACGGATGCCCTGTCAGTGGTATACCGATAGCGCAAGCGGAGTCACTATTTCATTTTCACCCATTTAAAAAACACACACACTTATGCACGACCATGAGCGTATTTAAGTTATCAGACTTCACACACTAAAGAAACAGTCACTATCATGTAGAAGCTTCATACATAGAGCAGACAGAGATCGTTAGTTCTAGTGTTTAACAGCTCCGTTGCTAGCAATATACTCTGTCTGGTCGACCTTAACGCGTTCCTCCTGGAAACTATCGTGGTTATTAATTGTTGAATTCGTCACGATAGGCCAATTGACCAGCTCCATCCCTCACTAGAACCTCCTGTATACCGATAGAGCAGGAGTCATTATTTCATTTTAAATTTATTACATTCTATACATTTAAAACATTATAGATAACTACAAATCACACACTATATGATAATCAATGCTGAAACTAGCCTTTGCTGCTCTGGAAAATATTTGTCGCGTTTATAATGAATACTTAAACCGTATTTTTTTATGGATGATAATGGAATAGTTACCCCGCCTGCGCTAACGGTATACGCTAGCGGGACACCAGTGAGGAATGATAGGTGAGAATGAAAAAACAGGTCAGTTAGCCCATCGTGATGAATACACTTGGAATTCAGCACGATGGTTTCTAGGAGGGACCACGGGGAGGTCGACCTGTTAGGGTAAATTGTTATCAATGGGAGTAGTAATCTGCATTACTAACAATCTCTTCCCTCCTCAACTTAAACCGTATTAAATTCATTTTGCCGCTCTGGCAATTTTTTTGACTACCAGACACACATCTCTTATACAGGAAAACCTCTTAACACAGTTTGAAAATGGAGTAATAAATAAATTGTGCTTTAACAGTGAAGCAATATTCATTATAAATATTGCTTATTTAAATACCTACAACGCTTTTAGTTCACGCTTGATAGTCCACCCTGTCATATAACCGATCAATTTCCTAAATTGATCAGGGATTCACCAAAACAATTTGCCCTTCATAAAGGCAAATTAATTCGGTTCCAATTATGCGATGTAATGGCGGCAGTTAGATTGCCCTGTAATTTCGATTGGCCATGTGGTTAATGTTCTCATATCAGTTTATTGTACTCATACTTTATGTGATAGGTACGTACTTTCTGATGACTTAGTAAATCAATACTGGGTATCGTTTGTTTACTTGGATTTATATTGTGAATAGATATAATATCAGTATTTTCCTACATTTTTATGAAGCATTGTAATGCATATAGAAATAAATTTAAGTCAGTTTCTTAATAACCATAAAAAATTTCTGTGGAGTGGCAAACAGTTGTCAAATATTGATTAGAGCAATTTCATGTATATAAGTGCGTATGAAAATATGTGCATAATTAGAATTCTGTACAGTGAATGCAAAATAATTCTCTCTGCGTAGAGAATCTCTGCGTAGAGATGTTGCATCTCTGTGCATCTTCTACCGAATTTATCATGGGGAGTGCTCTGAAGAATTGTTCGGATTGATACCTGCTGCAGATTTTCACCATCGTACAACCCACCATAAACTAAAATTTCATCCCAACCATCTGGACGAGTGGCGGTCCTCCACCGTGCGTTTTTCAAGGCACTTCTTCCTCGCACAACCACTCTTTGGAATCAACTTCCAGCAGCAGTATAACCGATACGACAACATAACCTTCAAGAAAAGAGCATATTCCTTTTTAAAAGGCCGGCAGCACACCTGCAATGCCGTAGGTGTTGTGGGTGATCATGGGCGGCGGTAGTCACTTACCATCAGGTGAGCCGCATGCTCGTTTGCCCCATGTGTTGTAAAAAAAAAAAAATTCGAACAAAGAATGGCCTATAAAGCAATCTGTTCATTATTATTATTATATCCAAATTAATAAACTCCAACAGATAGATAAGTATTAGGGGCATTAACTTAAACAATAAAAATACATTTGAAATATAAGCTTTATTTCTATACAACTACAAAATGTATAAAATATCAGTCACCTTATGGTTAATATGTTTGGATTAGATATAGAATGTCCGCTTAGATGGCACACTAGAAAGTACCTATATTTCATTCACTTATACAAATATCGGTGTCTGTAACAAGTAGTTCAATTTCTACGAGTGTAATACGTTTTCGTTTCGGCAACAAAACGCGCATAGGATTTTACCGATAGGTATGTTATCGCTGCCGCATATATAATATAGAACGATAACAATGTATGGCGTCGTTCTTTCAAATATGTGCACTAATGAAAACGTATCTATCGACAGTTTACCACTTGTCTAGCGAGGGCAATTTTATTAAGATGAAATGAACTTTATTGTTTACATTCACAAAATTGATTACTGAATTTAAATTATAAGTAACGGGCGTTATGCCCGGATATTGGTGTCTCATTCTTTCTCATAGGTATGAAGATAACGTACCTAGTTGAAAGTACACGAAATTATTTACTACTTGTTTACGCGAATTGTATTGCAATTAATGATTTGTGATTCATACCTATAGGTGATAAAATTTAACTGACACATCAGGACTAGCTTATGTTTGATTTATTTACTGTCTATAACAAATAGCAAAATATTTTTTTTATGTAAAATGATTAATGTAGCTTAGAGATTCGTATGAATTGTAGGCGATGCTATAAAGAGGTTTGAAGTACTGCTACAGAGAACATTACGCTGTGACTTACAAAACTACTAATGACATGACAGCATGATAATTATTTATACAAAATAGCGCCGTTGTAAAGGTAATTCTCAAATAGCTTTTCAACCATTACAGGTACAAATTTTAGTACGACCTTATTTAACAGAATTATTTATGGTTAGCGAAAGAGATTTGTTTGAATCGAAGCATTTGGCATTCCATTGTTTCTGCCTACCCTAATGGGAGACAGGCGTGACAGATATGTATGTATGTTATAACGTTTAAATACATAATGCATTTATTCTCCTTCCTTTGTATGTTAAGGATGAAATCATTTTATATTTAGCAGTGTATACAATACCTAACATCAACTGATATTAACGTATATCCTTCAAGTATAACATTACGATATTTGATGTAATTTTTTTCCAACTGCCTACCATAGCAATGTAAAAAAAAGTATTTCCATAATATAACGAGTTAACCCTATAAAACCCATTTAAATTACCAAAGTACATAACAAAATTAATAATATTGAGTACCCTTAAAAAGAAAAAGCATATTGAATTTGTAAAGTCAATGCGAATGGCGGTTTTTTCTACAAATAAATAGAAGACGTTGGTTCTTGATTACTTCGGAGTTAATATTTTTTTAACATCATCTGTGATTACATATGAATACGCATATGTAGGCAATAACTCATTAAAATAATTATTGAATTATTGTGTACGACTGTAGCTCATACAAAATAATACTGACTTATTAATTTAGAAACAAAACAACAACATAAAGTCAATATTGAACAACTGTAATTGAATATTTACCTACTGTTATAATTTAGTAAATAACACAAATGATCCCAAATAAAAAAGAAAAACAACAAACATTACTAAATTTGTGCCTAACTTATGCTCTTTTCTATCAGGACCGCGTTATATGTGTATTTGATAAACTCTTGTGATTAGTCATTCCTACAAATATGATAAATCACAATATCATGCAAATATCATTAAAAACAATTCTTATACGGATGACAGAATCTACATAAAATAACATAATGATAAACTTATCTAGAATATTATTCTAAGATATAAAGTATTATAGAGATGTTAACTGAGAATAATACAATTAAAATAATTGCCCATTATAAAATATTGCACACGTTTACACAGTAGGTAACCTAAATATCTAATAATTCTATCAAGTTTATTAGGTATTAGATTGTTTTAAAACTGTTTAGTACTTATATTCCTGAACATAATATGTGTTATGAACTAAAAAGGAAACATCATTACTTGTCAGTGTAGTCATATAATAAGTGCGCTAAAAATTCTTACACTTCAAGTATATACTGTATAAATTATAAGTATAAGGCATAACATACTTATAAAAGTACTGGCGATATCAAAAGTATTGCAGGGAGTCGCTGGTTGCAAGTATCGCAGGTTCGTACTTTACAGTAGAATACGAGGGAGAACTATGTTCAACAGCGAACGATCATCACAACCTGTCTAGTTGTGATGATAGTCATGAAGATATCTTTAAAAAATTGTGATAAATACAATATTTATAAACAAAATTACAGTACCTTGTATGGTATACAAGGTATTTTAACTTTATGTAGTAAGTTTTTACAACTAAAATGCACGTCGCAATACATATTGTGTTTTCAACACAATGGATTTTAGTGGAAACAGTTGTCCAGACATTAATCATAGTCTATAAATGTAGCATACCATGTAATAATTTGGTATAAACCCTCAATAATCATGTCTAAGTAATATATAATACTTCATGAATGTTTAGCGAAAACACTGTAAAAATGTTTACTGTTAAAGGTGTGTCAATAGTTTCTAATAATCCTCTATCTTATTTGATAGTATAATATGCCTCCAAAAAAAAAACTAATAGTGGCATTACAAGCAAGCTCGACGTCTCGTTCAAACAAGTTATTTAATAATGCTTAAATATTCTATTTTACACAAAAATTATAACAAAATAAGACACCCGTAAACTTGAAAACGATATTATTATAAAATAACTTATATTAATTGATTAGTTATAAATAATAAAAAGTAGAATCAATACATTTTAGCCAATATTTATACATCATTACTTTCTTTTATAATTAGATGGATTTAAAATAGTCTTATCAAATTTGATTAAAATATTAAAAAAAAAAAAAAAACAATATCAAAAAAGGGACTAGAAAAACTACACCATTTACAAAAAAAGGATCTCAGATTAAGGCAAATTTAGATTGGGTTAGTTGCAGACGTTAGTATCGGCATCAAAACTACTACTACTGTTACCAGACTAACACTAAATACATCCAAAGAGAACCTTGGAGTCAGTGCTGTCATAATCTTTAAAATCAACACTATCCTGTCTGGTTTGAAGTCAGTAATTGACCCAATGTAAATTTCTATTAAGATTGAAAATTTTAATCTCCTGACAAATCGAGCCATTAGTAATTTACTTAGTCAATAGTAATTTAGTTAGTCAATAGTGATTTAGTTAGTCAATAGACGTAATGATGTTTGAAAAAATGTTTGAGGAAAAATTTTAACTGATAATATAGCTTCCTTGGTGAACATACATAATGCAGATGGCTGAGATTTGCTAGTTTGCATCCTGTAAAATCGAACTATCAGGAGGATAAAAAATTACAACCTAATATTTAGGATCTTTGAATCATATACTACAAGTAGCCATACAAGAATTATTCAGAATGGAGTAACAGTTGTAATAAATATTATTCTCTCACTATGAAATTGACAAGTTACCTACTCTTTCAGTGATATGATTATCTCTTATATATATATATATATATATATATATATATATATATATATATATATATATATATATATATATATATATATATATATATATATATATATAATCTTCCTAGAATCGCAAATCAATTATGCAGTTGGCAGATTTAATGTCCATTTAACTTGCAAGATTAAGAAGGAGATTAATGAACGTCGTAATTTAGAATGCAATCTAAATTTTATAAACTACAAATAATCAAAAATTGGCCCGTCTTGAACTAGTTAGCTGATTTATGTGGGTGCCAACATTTAAAGATCGATTACTATTATTATAAATAGAAGTTCTATGACTTTCACTAGTCTTCAATCACTGATCGTTCAGGGTCAACACTAGGCTCCAAGTAGCGATCTATTAATTTACCTGAAAATGCTTCGTTTAGAGATGAAACACGTGTCGCAACATGTGCGTGGACTGAATAAAGGTCAGAGATTGATGACTAATATTGAAGGTCGTAGAACTTCTACTAATAATAATAGCTGTCAACCATTAAATGTAGGCAATCGCATGCTTAAATTATAGTAGATTTAAACAAAATAATTCTAATCGACTAACCGGTGATATGGACTTCCGCAAAATAACACCTAAATCAGTAAAATATTCAAAATCTTAAAGGCGCTGATTCAATTTCTTTTTTGTTTTGTGACATCGTAACAAAGTATAATATGTATATATAATAAATAAAGTAATTTTAAAGTATAATGGATTAATCCTAATAATAGCTATAAATGTCAACTAAAGAAACTATATCACAATAATGTCTTCCATCTTTCTATTATAATAACATAAATGTGGATGTATAAAACCACATATAATAATGTATAATGTAAGATAAACATCGAAAATATATTAATGTTTATAATAATTTAGTTACTGCTAAACAACTAAAATATGAGATTACAATGTCCAAGTCTTATAATTAATGCTTTATGGTTCAAGCATTTGAATAGTTGAACAGAAGCAGTTGTTTTATACCTTAAATAATATTAAAGAAAACATACAAGCTACTAATATCTGTCATAATAAACACAAAAAATTATCATATGTTTAGTATTTGTTATAAATGATAAAGAATGAGAATTTTATAGCATCAAAATGGATCATAGATAAAGCAAATAGGCATGATTTTAGATGAATTTTGACTACAGATCATACTAGTCATTATCAAATTGTGAAAAAGATTTTTCCTTACAATTAAATATCTTAATCTTTAGTCTTCATTAGTCAGTGTTAAGCAAGCAAATTAAAGCACTTGACTGGTTTTAAATTTACTAATCATTGTTATACAGCTGTGTTTAAATTGTCCACTGCTTCCATCAGGCTGGGCACCGAGTCCACTTTCATACCTCGCTTGCGGAGATCATTCAGTTCATCCACCAACTTTGATTTATCTCTGCCAAGTGTTTCCCTGAAATTGTGTTTTTTTTTTTAATAATTTTAACATCATAACAGCACAAACAATCAATCCTTGCTAATAATATAAATGTGAAATTTGGTATAATCATCATCATCTGTCCACTGCTAAACAGAAGCCTCTAAATATATATATTTACTTATTTAGCATTTAGTATGGAAAAAAGATATAAGTTACTTTTTATCCTAGTCAATTCAACAACTTCTATATAATAGTTAACCCCATTCCTCTCTTTATATCTATAAGCTGTTTCAAATTGCAAATTTTGAACAATAAATTAATCAGACCACTCATTTATATGCTTATCTCGATTAGCTTCTTATGTAACTGTGTTTCACCTTTATATAAGTTATCAAAATATATAATGTCACTAATTACGCATATCATGACTAATTTATTAAATGTATACAAGTAATAAATCACTGTCAATACAGCTCCATAATTTAATTTTTATATTATACCTGACAGGTTTTACATTATTTATGCCTATGTATTTGTTACTTCTTGGTGCCTTTATGGACAATCAATCAACACAAAACTAACATCAAGAACAAGATAGAATATTTTTATCCCAGTAATGTTCAAACACAGGAGTTCCTTTTTTTAGAATAACAAGACACTAGCATTCTTTTTTTTTTCAAAATTATACTAACCATATAGAGATACAAGTATGCAGTAAAGGAATATATATGAGAAGCAAATCAGAATCACTGACTGCTTCATAGCGTCGCAGAGCAAGTTGTGCCCACCGCTCCACTGGACCTGCTAGGGCTCCGCCACTGGCCCCCGCGCAGGCGACAATGCGACAAAGCGCACTCAATACTACACGTGACCTATCTGTATATACCTGCAATAAACATAAACAATTATATTAATAACAAAATTTTAAAGTAAAGAATATACTAAAACACTACCATCATTGTTCTTTATTTTCATATCTTGATATTCCTTATTACCAAAACATTTTTTTTTTCTTATTTTATAAATCTATATCCAAATATAATATTGATATACGAAATGACTGTAGTCTAATACGAGGTTTGTCCGGAAAGTACGTATAAAAGTTTTTTAAAAATTTTATTTTACAATTATTCAGGTAAATCAATTTTATCCCCTTCAAAATACTCCCCCTGTGACATAATGCACTTGTGCCAACGCCGTTTCCACTGTGAGAAGGCTCCTTGAAAGTCCTCTGGTTGTAGGTTTCTCAGCTGCCCCGTCGTAGCTTTTTTTATCTCATTTATGTCCCCCAAATGCCGCCCCCGAAGTACCAATTTGGTTTTTCAACAAGAAGAAGTCACACGGGGCCAAATCCGGCGAATAGGGGGGTGTTCGGTCACCGTAATGGAATTTTTACTCAAAAACTCACGGAACGATCTTGGCGCAAATTTTTTTCATTTGAAGTTCGTTTCTTAGAATTTCGTGGACCACGGTTTTGCCCAAATTAAGCTCTTCAGCCACCTGTCTGACCGTTAAAACGACGGTCCGTCCAACGTCATCTTGAACGCTTTCTCGGCCCTCTCTGAATCTTTTTAGCCACTTGTGGACGGTTGGTTCCTTCACAGCATCATCCCCATAAACTGTTCTGAGATCGGCAAAAATTTCACGGCCAAATATAACGGGGTTTCGTTAAGAGGTATTGACAAGCCAGTTCGCATACATTGTTAACATAAGGAAGGGGTCCTGCGCTTACCTGACTCCTCTTTCTCGCATTCCAGAACACTTTTATACGAACTTTCCGGAATATAATAGAATCAATTCCAAAAACTTGATATATATTAATGATATAAAGATTAATTAGCAAATTATCAATACAGAATTTACCTTTTTAACAACTATGTCAATTATTACAGACTAAGTCAAAATACAAAAGTTTACAATAAACAACAATTATATGTTAACTTGTAACATCAACATTATTTTATATTTTGTAAATAACTAAGTAAATAAATAATAGCTGTATGCCAGTATAAAATGGGCCACCCCTTTCTTTCGCATATATGTTGTAAGAGGCAACTAAGGGAACTTAATGGTTGAGGAATGGGCAGCAACATCCCTTTTAAAACATCACTAAAGTGTTTTTTTACTAAAGTTATTATTACTTTTTAAATGTAAAACTTCAATATAAATTTATATAGTGTATTGTAATGTAAGAAAGACTCTGTTTTCCGCACTTAGCCTCTCATTTGGGCCGTTGTGCATGTGAGTATATATAGTGTATTTACAATACATATAAACAGTACTAATTTGATATATCAGTGTAAATAGATGTTTGTTTTATTTATTCTTTATTGCACAATAAAACTTTGTACAAGTGGCAAGCTTAATGCCATATGGCGCTCTCTACCAGCTAACCATTAGGTAAAAACAGAAAGCGTATGAAAGACGTGATGAAAAATATGTAACATAATTATGTCACCACATATTTTTACAAATAATTATACATAATAATACATAAGAATTACACATATAACACATAAACACTACTTATAGTATATATAGTTATACTAATATATAATGACAAAACAAATCACCTTATTCAATAATTTGAAACTTGTTTCCAGCACTGACAGTGCTTGGTCAAATTTTTCCTCATTCATTAATCGTTTTGCTTCAATTAATTCAATATCTTGAAAAAAAGAAATGGCTGCCGGGGAGTCCCTCAGTCTGGACTCATTAGATATTAAGTCTAGCAATATTTCAAAAGCTGCACATCGAGTTGATATTAAGTTGGGGTCAAAATTCCCAACCATCATCTGGAATAAATGACATCAACACTAAATAGATATCTCTATAAAATGTTTCAACATTGTTACACACTCATGAAATATAATGTTACCTAACATTGCATTATACATTTAAGCAATATATCATTGCATATTGCTTAATTTATGTAACTGTTAACACTAGTTGCATAAATTATTCTAGAGAAACTAATCTATTCACCCATCTCCATACCAAATCTCTCATAAGGTAGAGAAATCTGAATGAAAAAGAGTTATTCTTACAGATTGAAAATGGATGACTTTCATAAATTATTTCATGCATATATACTAGTTTTGAAAACAATTAATTCTTGATTTCTACTTTAGATTGTACATAGTTTATCTGATTATAATAAATTAATTTAGCTCTCTCTACATATATCCTTCCACTTATGCATTTTGTATCTGTTTTGTTAACATTCCATTTAACATTATTTCCAGATCCTAAAACCAATATAGCTTATAATTACTCACTTTCAATTAGAATGTTTAAATTAAACAAAACAGTATTAATTACATTCTACAACTGCATAGAATAGAGGGTGGATATGGTGTATTCTAGAAAAATTACAAATATAATAATAATAATATAATCAAACAAAATCAATACATACAAGCTACTTGTAATACCCGCTGACCAAAATTTTAAATGTTAGTTCGAGACTTTTACAATTAATAATACAACAATATTTCTGGGAAATTAAGCATAATATAAGAAGAAATTATTAAATATTATTTTAAATTTAATACTATGTAAAAATAAGTAAGTAATTACTAATTATTGGTCTAAAATTGGGGCGGATGACTCAATTAGATGACAACTCACCTTTCTAGGAAATGATACATTGTTTAACAAAACTGGACATTCTTTCTTCAATCCATTATAAAGATCCAAAAAATGGGTGTATCTACGTTCTACATTTGCTGGATCTGGATCGTATAACTCATAAACTTTGGATTCTTTGTTGTCTCGCCTTGCTTGCAACATGTATGCAACAAATTTCTTCTCGTCACCCTCTACAGTTCGCGAGGAAACTATTTCAAACTTCAACATACTGTTTCTCTTACACTACCAATACCGATAGATATAAAAATTATAATACGTGCAAGATATTTATTTTTACATACAAGTATTAGCGATTACTCTCTTTGTTTATAATAGACGTTTTAATGTTTTATTTACCTACAAGAATGAAGAAGGAAAATGACATAACAAGAAGTGACATTTGACAATTTTTTTTTTTTTTTTTTTTAGTACGTTTGTTCCGTTTGGAACAGGCTAAGGTCGGAGACCATGCTGCCTAGTCTTCAAAAAGATAATTTGTCTGGAATACATTTGACAATGATATATGTCACACACAGAGTAAGTCATGATTTCGATATTTAAGAGTTGACACTATCTTTTTATTAACGAAACTGAAAATAAATCTATACAACCATCTTGATGTGTCAACAGAATTAAATTATTGATACACAGTAGTGTCTTTTACACCACTATGTGTATTAATAATTGTATTCATAATAATCTATTGTACACAATACCTCTTATTCATAGAAATTAAAAGGTCCTACAAACCTACTTTATCTACTGAATATAAACCTGTTTGACATTTTTATGAGTAAGAAAGAATATGAATAGCTATGGGAGTAATAAAAACTATAGCAAATTATTAGTATAAAATTTTCGAGGGGGGAAGGGATTGTTAGTAATGGAGACTAAGAATCCTATTGCTGGCAATATACCCAACCAAGTCGACCTCTTCGCGGTTCTCCGTAGAAACTATCATGGTTAATTCCTGATGAATTCATCATGATGGGCTAACTGGCCTGTTTTCGTTCTCATCTATCACCCTTCACTGGTGCTCCGCCAGCGTATCCCGTTAGCGCAGGCGAGGTTACCATACCATTTTCACCCAGCAAAAAAAAAAGTGTAAAATTTTCACATTCAATAAATTGGTTGCACATATTTTATACATATTTTTTTTTTGTTTCAAGTAATATGTACTGAAGTTGGCTTTATTTACATGACACTATGACATTCACAATAGAATATAGTCATTCCAGACAAATTATCTTTTTGAAGACTAGGCAGCATGGTCTCCGACCTTAGCCTGTTCCAAACGGAACAAACGTATTAAAAAAAAAAAAAAAAAAAAAGAATATAGTCTCTTTAATGTGTTTAGAATATTACGGAGGAATTGAAGGATATGCTCCAGTTTGTAGATAACTTTTTAATTGATTTTAGAACTATAAGTAAAACCCAGACTACGTCTGTAAAGATTGCACCTATATTTTATATTCAATTATCTATCTAGTCTAGCTAGTCTTAATAAATAAAATATGCTTTAGTCCAGACACGGTGAACTGATTTCAAATATTGTGCTGTTTATTAGACAATAAAGAATTTTTCCATCATTTCTTAAATATTTATACGTAGTGTTAATCAATGGATTAATTTATTCTTGAGAATATACCTTTGTTTACAAAATCAACTTTTTATATGTTAGGTAGCGCCATCTAATCTAAAACAGAATTTATAGATGCTATAGGCATTAGGTGATAGAAATAGTATTTTTTTTATTAATACAATTACATTATATGAAAAAATGAATGAAAATCAAAGATTTCGGATGAAAACTCTATTGTTCTCTTTTCAAAAATAGACTTAGTTAAAAAACATCTAGATCAATACAATCACGTTATACTAAGTCTATGATATAATCATAGGTAATTACAAAATATATTGTGCAAGAATCAAATCCGCCACCTTTGGAAAATAGAGCAGTGTATTCATTACACCGTTACATTACTAATGTCGTCATTCCCTCATCAATCCACACTTTAGGCAGGTACAACATCTAATAAGTTATTGAGAGAAAAGGGATTATTTGTAGGAAGTGGCAGACCCATTGACAGCAATATACTCTATCAGGTCGACCTTCACGCAATTTCCCCCTGGAAACCATAATGAATAATTCTTGTCGAATTTGTGACGATAGACTACCAGACCTGCTTTCATCCGCATCTGTCATCTCTCACTAGTGCCCCGCCAGTGTATACCGGTAGCGCAGGCGGTGTTGTCATTATCCTATTAAAAAAACTACATCTATTGCTACCTAAATCTAATTAATGTTCTGTCCCTCTAGTTTCATTAATTTAATGATTTAATGACTGGTTATGTAGTATACCTAAATATCTAATACGTATAAATCAATTATGTATAGTTTCGAATTTTTTATTAGTTACCCTGTAAAATTATTAAGTACCTAATATAAATTAATTTCGTAGGTAATTTTATTAACGATCTATATCACCAAAAACAATATCTATTGTGGCAATCAATATTGCTATATCGGCAAGCATCAATTTCGGTCCCAGTACAGAAAGTCCAAGAACATGAGTGTATGAGCAAGGTCTTATGTGTACCCTGTAAGGTTTAGACGAGCCATCAGCGACCATATACAAACCTAATTCACCTTTTGGACATTCTACTGCTGTATATGTAGCTCCAGGTGGAACGCGATATCCTTCGGTACATAATTTAAAATGATGTATAAGCGATTCCATAGATGTTTTCATCTCAATTCTAGTTGGGAGGCATATTTTGGAATCATCTGTTCTTATTTCACCTTCCGGAATAGTATCTATAACTTGATTTATTATTCTTAATGATTGCCTTAATTCTTCTAAACGTAGCAAATGTCGATCATAACTATCACCAAAGGTACCAACGACAACATCAAAGTCATATAAATCATATCCATCATATGGTTGGGTTATCCTCAGGTCCCATTTAACACCGGTACATCGCAACATAGGACCTGTGAAACCTAAATTTATAGCTTCATGCGCACTGACGACACCGATTCCAGCAGTCCGCGCATAGTACAGCCTATTTCCTGTAGCGACGTCTTCTGTCTCATCGCACCGCTCACCCAATTTCATACACAATTCATGTACATCATCCAAAAAGCCAATAGGTAGGTCTTGAGAAACACCACCAGGTCGCAAGTATGCGCAATGAACACGCGCGCCACAAAGTCTCTCAAATAATTCATAGATCTTTTCTCGTTCTTCACACATCCAAAAAAAGGGAGTAATTCCACCAGCATCTAGAATTGTTCCAGAAATATTCAATAAATGATTTGCGATTCGGCATAACTCACTACATAAAACTCGAATAGCTTTTGCTCTGGGAGGAGCTTCGATGTTTAATAAAGTCTCAACAGCTAGTGCAAAGCCTTGCTCATTTGCTATTGTTGAAACGTAATCTAGACGATCCATAAAAGGTAGACTTTGGTTATAATGTTTATGTTCCATTAGTTTTTCCGTAGCTCTATGAAGAAAACCTATATGAGGATCTGCCCTGACCACAGTTTCGCCGTCCAATTCTAAGATAAGACGAAGTACACCATGAGCAGCAGGGTGTTGTGGTCCAAAATTAATCCACATATTTTTCAGCTTTCGTTCAACCGGTCTCATTTGTGAATTGTATATCATCTTATAATACTTATCGGTAGTATCAGTGCGAAATATCACAGGGCCGGAGAATTGCTTGATGAATTCTGCGTCTGGAAACCATTTGTGCGCACAAACTGGTGAATGTATAGTTAAATATCTACATTGATACAAATTATATTTCTTTAATGAAAGAACTCTCAAATACTGCATATTATTACAATTAAATTACAAGAACGATCTGCAGAAATTATGGCAGTATTCCTAAGAATTATTTGTTTATTGTCATATTAGGTTGACACAAAATTAAATCACCACTAAGTTTTTTTTTAAATGTCAAATAGGTATAATTTGTACATATAATTTGTACATGCATACTACTTATTCTTTAATATCTCTATATTGGAGAATAAATAGTACAAATTTCATGAGAGATGTAGGAATTTGTCTACCTGTCTATATATACACCAAGACTCTAGCAAACTTTTAAATCGAAATAAACAATAAACGGTAGAATACTCTTACTTTTCCATAAATGAAATTACAAATTTTGATAGGACTTTTAGAAGCGTGCCTATTTTGTGGTAGCTGCTGTACGGCATGTACTTACTATTTACATTAATTCGTATCCAATTAAAAAAATATTACCTTAAGAGTACCTACCTGACATTAATTAAACGCATTTCTTTCATTTTGAAACTATTATTACCCAAGTACCTATTATGATTTCAGTATTTATTTTAAAAGAAATAAAACACTCAATAACAATAAAATATAAGCATTTATTATATATAATATAGTAAATAGTATTAAAAATAGATTTTAAATTAACCCTTCGAACATTTTTATTGCGATTTGTAAAATTAAGTAGATACTAAAATTTTTAAAATATTGAAATTAAATGACATCAGACAATGATGATGAATTCAGATGGTCATTCAGATATTCTTAAAAAATGTTAAAGCTCTTATAAACTCATTTTAGCTATTGAACTATTTTGTCTCTTTCTTTTTAATTAAATTCTCAATTTGAAAATGACAAAACAGCGTAATAGTTTAAATACAACAGATTTATAGGTTTTGGTTTTAAGGGTGTACCTATATGAGTTTTCATCAACTTTTGATGCTGACGATACTTGACTATAAATCTAATTGTAAATGATCGAACAACCAAAATAATCTAAACACGAGTATGTAAATAAGTTTATTAGTTCCATTTAATATAGCATATAAAATCTAATGATTTTACTACCACTTGTTTAAGTTTTGTGTGACAAGCTTATTACTTACCAAATTTCTGACGAGAAGCAGAAACAAGTTTTAAATGTAGTTGATTGTTGTATTGAAAGATATAATAGGGTATAAAATGTAGTGTAATATCCTACACAAGTGATATTTCACTCTAGTCCTCCTGAGGATCTGTCCATAATGATTTTTAATTGATAAATAATTAAAGATAAAAAATTATAAAGAATAATGATTCAAATGCATTTCTATACAATGAATATTTTAAACAGATTCTGTATAAGTATATTACCGTAAAAAACGAATTCTTTGTTCACAATAGGTAATTGAAATCAAGAATAATGATTGCATAATTTTTTACTTCTTTTGACTATTCTTTTTTTTTTATTATGTTATGTTGATAGCTATGCTGTATCTAAGCCAAATCTGAAGCATCATATTGACTGTTATACCACTTTTTATATAATGCGAACAAAGTAAAAACGCGGCAGAAAATTCGAAAAAACATAGTTTGGAAAAAGACAAATAATTTAAAGCCTGCCATACTTACATTTTTTTGCCTAAACGCACCATGTTAGGAGGCTCATTTTATTTTGTATTTTTTTACCTATGTTTCTGCAAATAAAACTTATCTATGGCTATACTCCCTTAAAAGCACGATTTTTATTTCAGCTGTAGCTACATAATATGTAGATAGATTTTTAAATTGTTATATGATGTAAGCACAAATATATTTCTAATAAAATGTTATGTAGACAGATAGAAAAATATTTACGTGATTACAACTTTATTTATAAAATGCAGTAATAATATGAAATATGCTCTTAATACACATATAACAATATTATTTATGTATATGTTATATATGATATATATATATATATATATATATATATATATATATATATATATATATATATATATATATATATATATATATATATATATATATATGGTTTATATTGCGGTGAACTAGTCTCCGTAAGTATATGTACTTATTTATAAAAAATATTAAGCTGAGTTACCAAAATAAATTACCAAACTAGATTTCATATTTTCTGGTTAATAACATTTTATATATACAGGTACAGGAATGTATCAACATCACTTTAATAAAAACAAATACATACCCAAATACGCTGTAGTAATAAATAATTAACAAATTTGTACCTAAAACTAAAAATAATATAAAGAAAAAATACTTAACTTTAAGTAATGAATATATTCGTAACATTTGAATGGAACTAAATTATAAAGTTATAGAAATACATTTTATATTTATTTAACACTGATGTAATTTGAGTTAAAATATTATAGATATTTCAGAACTAGCTATATCCCGCAGATTTCCCCGCGTTGATTAGGAATATGTGTATGATATATATGTTAAACTACCATTTGTATAGATAGGTATAATACTAAATTTCATTCAAACCCCGTGATTGAGTAATAAACATTAGATAACGTTTACAAACTTTTATATCCAATAAGTATAAGTTAATTTACTTACATAAAAATGTGTCTAAAAATTATCAGATACAGGCCAGTCAGTGCAATGTATACACACGATATTATTAATTTTATTTAATTAATAAAGCTTACCAACTACATTATAAATACAGATAGTATAGATATTTACCTATAAGATAGGCATTTATTTGTAAATAATACAAATAAACACCTGCTTTGTATCTATCTGGCAAGTAAATAACTTAAATCAAACGTGTACCTTCATATTTACCATGAAATTAAATTACTAAATTTCCAATACAATTGTCATTTCATGTGTTATTAATTAAAAGTTATACCTAGCTATGTAGTTACATTTAAACGTACCTTTAAGACTTTAAAGGAAATTATATCAACATTGTAAAAATTAACTTTTTATAATTAACTGTTAAAAAAGTAACGAATAATTATCAAATGACGCCATTGTTGAGTGAATACTCGTATTGTATATGTAGTAGCATACGCCATACAACTCATGTTAATGTTTTTACGATAATGTGCTAATGGGCCGCTTATAGTAGTAGACAGTTTAAGATAAATATTCCACAATTTGTTACACCTGGACATTTGGAGTCAAGAGTGTCCAAAAATGAAGGTCTACCATAAAACAAAAATCCAAATTTTCGGACTTTATTTCGTGTTTTGTTTATACTGAAATCGGTCCAGTAAATGAAGCTCAACATTTATATTTTAACAAATTTGATGTTTTTAAACAGTATGTATTATATAATTTTAACATAAAGTTTTTCATAATAACAAACATTTCACGGTAGGCTCTCAGATGTGCGTGCATGAGACGAAATGATGTAAGCGAGGAACCAAAAAATGACATGTAAATTAAATTACAAAACGAATTACTCTGGGACTAATTACTTTAGCTGGTATTTTGGACCCCGAACTCTGTTTTTGTATTGTTTGTTGTTAGAATATTAATAATTTCCTTAAAACCCTATATAGGCGTATAGTACCTATTTAAGAATAATATACTCTTTACAAATATAGATTATACCTTGTAGATAAATATGTATATAAATTGTTACAATTATATGAATATCAATTATTATTAATATATAAATATTTTAAATTATTATACAGTCATAAAGCTGGAGAACATGCATAAATATAATAAGCTTATGCGGTTATTATGTATTGATTCTTTATCTAACCACGCTATTCAAACAAAACAACTTGTTTTGCCACCTATATTTTAGTAGAAACGGGGAACAGGGAAATGCCTAAGTAGTGTAGAGTCAATTAATTTTACTACTCTATTCATTATCAATCAATACTTTATCCATTTTAGTGAAAGAACTATCCATAACTAAATTAATATTTTGTTACAAAAACAAAGTGTGTTGCTTTCAAGGTAATCGATTGAATAGATGCTGGGGTAAGGAAATGTAAATTGAAACGTAGTTTTGTGAGACTTACCTTTGTTTTTATCTACTTAATTCTTCCAAAACAACTTCTGTCAAATCTCTTTATAATAGCTAATAGTTGTAGTATTGATAGTGCATTGTACACTACTGTATCTATTGACATATATATACCATTTAGATATTGTTGTCATTATGAATAGAGTAAGAGAGATTCAAGTTAATCATATGTCCCTATACTTACCTATTTAATTTTCCACAAACCCTACAAGCTTTTATTAGTATATTTACTATAAATTCATATATAAAACCTTAGAACAACTGTGATTTTTAGTTGTCGAAATAATTAATTTAAATTATTATAATACATTTTCTGATTTTTATATTCACACTGTTCCAATACATTGTAATCATTTTCAATTATCAAGTAACTATAATAAATACTGATTCCATTGCTTGCAACAAGTAAGCAATAAATAGTCCTATTCGTATCTCTCTGAGACATATTTGTGTCACATCCTTATTACATACATGCACCTATTAGGTATATTATGTTTAATACATATTAGGTATTTACGCAAACACGGACACTGGTTTATTACTTATGCTGATAATATCGTAGTCTTATGCCCACTTGGCCTCAACTAGCGTATTTCGTGGTCAAACCAATTTGGGTTTTATTACATCAATCTAAAGTTCACAACTTCGTACTTATGTAAGTTCTATATGATACTCATATTAATATCCATAAAGACTTGATCACACACTTCAGCTATAGAAACTGTAACATAACTCGAAGCCAGGAAAGTAATTAAGTATTTTATGATTTTTCTTACCAATAAAAACAGTTTTTTTTTTTTACAACACAGGGGGCAAACGAGCATGCGGCTCACCTGATGGTAAGTGACTACCGCCGCCCATGATCACCCACAACACCAGCGGCATTGCAGGTGTGCTGCCGGCCTTTTAAAAAGGAATATACTCTTTTCTTGAAGGTTATGTTGTCGTATCGGTTCGGAAATACTGCTGCTGGAAGTTGATTCCAAAGAATGGTTGTGCGTGGAAGAAAGTGCCTTGAAAAACGCACGGTGGAAGACCGCCACTCGTCCACTTTAGTTTGTGGCGGGTTGTACGGTGGTGAAAATCAGCAGCAGGTATCAATCCGAACAATTCCTCAGAACACTCCCCATGATAAATTCGGTAGAAGATGCACAGAGACGCAACATCTCTGCGCAGTTTCAGTGGATCAAGTCGGACAGTAAGGCGTTGACTATCGATAATTCGAGCCGCCCGACTTTGAATGCGGTCTAACGGAAGGAGTTGGTACTGTGGCGCTCCTGCCCACAGGTGAGAACAGTATTCCATATGCGGCCTGACTTGGGCTTTATATAATTTCAGGCGGTGTTCTGGCATGAAATATCGTCTCACCCTATTGAGCACTCCTAACTTTTTGGAAGCTATCTTAGCCTTCTCCTCCAGATGACCGCAAAACTGGACGTCGCAAGATATATCAACGCCCAGAATTCCTAGACTAGACTTTTTATCAAGGAAAGTGCCCTGAAAGTGAGGAGATACGACAAACGGCGTCTTTTTTGCGGTAAACGCGCAGACTTGTGTCTTTTTGGGGTTAAATTGGACAAGATTTTGTTCACCCCAGATCGAAACTTGATGGAGTGAAGTTTCGATTTCAGACACAAGTCTATTCCGACACTCATCGGTATGTGCCCGCGAGATCTTTGCATGACCGGTATATAATGTATCTCCTGTACTGTCGTCTGCATAGCAATGGATATTACTTATTTGTAACATATCATTGATATGCAGAAGAAACAGAGTCGGAGATAGTACACAGCCTTGCGGGACACCAGCATTCAAAGGTTTTAAATCAGAGCATGCTCCGTCGACTACGACCTTAATGCTACGTTCCTTGAGAAAACTGGCGACCCAAATGCACAGTCTCGCAGGCAACTCAAATGAAGGTAGCTTTGAAAGCATCGCTCTATGCCACACCCGATCAAAGGCCTTCGCAATATCCAGACTAACTGCTAAGGCCTCTCCCTTACTCTCGATTTCCACTGCCCATCGGTGTGTTAAGTAAGCTAAAAGATCACCGGCCGAACGTCCCTGTCGAAAGCCGTACTGGCGATCACAGATCAGCTGGTGCTCTTCTAGGTACCGGAGCAGTTGACGGTTAATGATGGATTCCATAACCTTCCAGAATAAGGAAGTGATAGCTATGGGCCTATAGTTAGCTGGATCTGAGCGATCTCCCTTTTTAGGGATCGGATGCACCAGAGCAGTCTTCCAAAACTTTGGGACTATGCCCGATGAGTAGCTAAGCCGAAAAAGAAAACAGTTCATTTGTACTCGACAACTGTCTTTATTGGTCGTGCAAAACGAAAGTTCATTATTACATAATTGCTTACTAGAGAAGACCATTTAGTACTATTCTTTATTTATTCAAGTTTCATTCGATAAAAAGGTTTACTTTAAACAGTAAAAAAACTTTTCCATTTAATAACCAAAACAGTGTAATAACTTTTACACCGACATACTAGAATAGATTTATAATTAAACATTGGAGATGTTTAAGAAAAGTTGATATGAGGGGTCTTAATAAGAGCAATAAAAGCCAAAATAATATTTTTTTGTCTGTATCTATAAGTTTGTTGCGGCATTACGCAAAAACTATTACTGCACCAAAGTGGATGTGGTTTTCAGTTATATTAAGTTATTGTTATCTAACTTAAAATGTCGTATTATATTTTATCTCGATACGACTCTATCTAGTAGTCAATTTTATTGATTTTCTTACCTCTGAAATCCACGTGTGCAAAGTAATGTGCACAAAACTAGTGCTATCTAAATGCAGAAGCTATTATGTACAGCACTTCACTCTTGCGAAACCCTTAAATATATAGTGTTGATACTTAATGGAAATCATATAACGTTGTACTAAACATGAGGAAAACCTTAGGACATTTTAAAAAATAGAGAGAAAACCAAATAAATATCTATAGATGAACATTTACAAGTACAGTACAGTACAACCTTGTAAAATTGTAAACTAAAGTCTTATTGTACTAATTAATCGATTAGTACATATATTTTGTGACACAAACAAACAATAAGTACACGATATGTTTTTACAAAAATTTAATGTACTTAGGTAAATTTCATGGAATCATCAGTCGCAGGGCAAAAAGCCCTAAGTAAAAAATAGGACAATACCTAAAAAGGGATTCTCTTATTTTTTTACTAGAATAAAACTGAAAATCGCGTTAAAATTTTTCAATAACTTTAGTTCGTAGATGATCTCCAAATAGTAGTACTTACATATGTACTCGTACTGTATAAATACCAACATTATATCTACAATTTTATCCATTATGTTAAGCAAATCAATCTAGCGTGTATGTAGTACAGTAGTCAATAAGTACGTAAGTATTAACTACCATATTCGGTCCTTTTTTCTGTACAAGTCTATTAAAATATCAATTTATATTTCTCACATTATTAAAGCAGCATACATTTTGGAAATCAATCTTATTGAATTCACGTCTACATTATTAAGAGTGTCAGAAAATAAAAAAAATAAACATACAAATTGAACACATTATTTGAAATAAGCTCGTCCAATAATGTCTTATTTTAAATATTATCACAATAAGCGTACATAAAACATATTGGTCCTATATTGGGCGACGTCGAGTTACATAATAACAAAGAAAAATTTACTGATATTCAGTTCGATATATTCTGTGATGAGTCAACGTATATACATGTACAAAGTTTCTGTAAGAACCTGAGTGTACTACCAGAAACCTTGTGGTAACAATTAGGCTTATTCCGCCATTTTACGCATAGATAGTAAACTGGTATACCGGATAGTAATATGCCTACTCCGATAGCTGTATCTTTCGGTTGGGTTATAGCTGGTATGATCACTAAACAGCCGATGGCGATAAGAAACAAGAGAGGTATTACAATGTTAACCCTTATAGGTCGAGGTAGGTCTGGTTTAGTTCTTCTTAACCATAACATGCCCACTACAGACGCGCCAACGGACAGCCAGAGCGTTTGTGAGAAGTAGTTGATTAAATCGAATACATTGCTAGTCGTCAGCATAAGAAGTGAGAAGAAACACTGGAAAGACAAAAAAAACAATAATTTACTCTGTCATGATTATACTGGCTTTTTGTATGTTAAAAAAAATGAATTAGTGTATTAATTGTATACTAAACAAGTAAGCAAGCCTTTTTTAAAACCTCTAACTTGTGTTAACAAAACCAACGCAGTAAAATTATGTTGATCTAGTATTATAAAATAATGACAATTACAGTTAATAATGGGGACTATCAGTCCCATTGCTAGCAATATACCCTGCCAGGTCGACCTTCACATGGTCCCCTTTGGAAAAATATGTGCTGAACTCTAGGTGTATTCATCACGATAGGCTAACTGACCTGCCTTTTCATTATCACCTATCAACCCTTACTGGTGTCCCGCCCCGGTGTATATCGTTAGCGTAGGCAGGGTTACCGTTCCATTATCGTTCCATTAAAAAAATAGCATAAAGAGTAATATATACTATGTATATAGTAGGGAGTTTTCCATTATTCATTCATGCAGATTGATTGAATATATATGATATAGAAATGATATAGAAGGTTTTATTTAAAAAAGAATAAACAATTATATTAACTTTTATATGCTAGCTTTTGGGTTTGTTAGAAGAGAACTCTTTTAGAGTAAATCTCGCCTTTGTACATTTTCTTACCTCTGTCATATTTTTATGTGTTAATGTATATGCGTACAATAAAATATAAAATAAATAAACTTACTGTAAACATAAGCGATGGTATCGGCGTCTGTTTTTCGATGTGGAACAGTGAGAAAAATGCAGGCATATGCCCCTCCTGAGCTCCTGTGGCAAACAATCGCGCGGACGTGAACAGCACGCCGTTAACGCCTCCGAACGTCGACAATGCCACAAACACCGGAATCACCCAACTCCAGCCGGTGAAAAGACGATCACCAAATATCTGGAAATTTTATTATATCTTATAAGTAAAATTATAATTTTTTGGAGTCGCTTAACAATTATTATAAGTAATACCTATAGTGCTAGCTCTGCTCTTTTTGGAACAAGATGGCGCTGTGTGGTATGGCCAATGGTTCTTGTTTTTTTTAAGTGTTTTCCAAATGGAGGAAGTTTTCAACTCACCTATATTTTTGTATGTATGTTACACGATATCTTCACCAACTTAAAATCAATGTTGATAATTCTTTTCACAGTTGATTTGAATTTATTAATAAAGAAGCATATATATATAGGTATATAATATTATCAAATAACTAATATGAGTGTTACCAAGGGGGTTAATTAGTCTTCTTTAAACAGATAATTTAAATAAATATCATTATAAATGTAGATACAAAAACAATAATAATAAAGAAAATTAATGATACAGTGTTGTCTAATACGATTTTATAATAGCGATAAATATTTAATTAAAGATAGAGAGTGTAATAAAAATTATACTATAATACCTAATTAAAAGTTTCATAGTTAAAAACAACTATGTAGATATAATATTAACTATACGCTCTGCAATGTCAAGGTCGGTAGTCAGCGCATTGACCTGATGGCGGTGAGACATCGCCTGTTACATAATTTTTTACTTTATTGTATATCATAGATGACCTCTCTTTTAATATCACTGAGAACTTCAATTTCACCTAGTATAAAACGGAAACACTGATTCTATTCTATTTGCAACAAACAAATAAATCGCGAACATTATAAGGTCAAGACCCTGGCAAAAACTGTGGAAGAGTTGATATCATATCTGAGGAGAATATTATTAGATTTTCTAATTATAGTGCTCGCAAGGTTAAGTAAACACTCTTGTTACTATAACATAAGTACCTACCTTTGGTGATAAGAAAACTTGTTATCGATAAAGAGGTCAGTGTGCGTAGCAATGCCATAACAGCGAACCTGATTCCAGAAAGTGCGATTTTGATGTTTCGCGACTTTTTAATGGCCTACACAGACTGGGAGCATTTTGATTGAGATCAATATTTATCTTTACATTTCTTTTAAGATTGATTTATGCGTCAAACTCGGGAATGGTTGATACTTAAAATAACTAGTCTGCTCTAATCACATCCATTGAAAACAGCAATAGCTGAATTTCTTGTGTGTTCTTCTTGGCTGAAATTGCGTTTCGAATGGGCGGTAATGAAAAAAATGACTATTCAAAAATACTTAAATCAAAATTTACTAGAATAAAAATATCTCTTTTATTTTTTAAATTGACTTGATCGAAAATTTTGTTATTTAGCTTTAATTGGATGTTTAGTATCCTAACATTGATCTTATTTCACTTTTATACTATTTGATAGTTCATGGTTTTACTACTTATTACTTGAAAAATATTCTTATCCATTATTTTCTGCTAAAACTGCTTTCGGAATATTTTATTTATTTCGTGATCCAAATTCAATAAATCTATCTAAAAAGAGTATGGACTGTTTCACAGAATGGTGATGATACTCCCAATATTAAAAAAAAAATAGTAATTCACACTGATAGCGTGACAGATATGTATGTATGTATGTATGTAATTCACACTGTGGCTTACATTAAAAGCTATATAGAAAAAAAAGCACTTGAACGATTGACATCGTAGTCCAAACCGAACAATGCATGCTGGTGTGATCCGCCCATACACCCTACAAACAGTCATCGTTGTCACAATAGGAAACCCTAAAAGGCTAGCCTTCATCTTTATTTCACATAACGTTGCGTGAAACTGATAGCAAACCGGTTAGAAGTATGTATGAGGTCAATGTCTCACTACATACATACCTAAAACCTGTCTTATGTTGACCATGACCATAATCAAGTAGATATATTTATAATAATTCTTTATACCTATGTATTCATACGAACAAACACGACACAAATTGAAATGTGAATTTTCATATTGACGACCTCTATATTGCAATTCAATTCTCGTTCGAGCCAATTTACAAAACGAGGTTTTTAAACCGACACTGGTCTGGGTATCTAAGTGATGGTCCCAGATGATCGTATCGATCGTACCTGGTATCTCACTATACTTAACACAGAATATAACTTGAGAACCAAGCAACTTATGTTGCATATAATTTTTTATTAACTGTAAATTAACAACTGTTGCTACGGCAGCCACGCCTTTATCAACCCTGTTTACTTCTATTTCTCAGTTCATCTGGGAATCCCCAACATCCCTTTTTAAGTACCAAAGAACGAAAATTATACCTTGCTGCTAAATTTAAATTTCTTAGATCAATTGTAATTTCAATAAGTAGTATTTTCAAATTCATTTATTTATTTGAAAACTACCAATAAACAAACATTTAAAAAACTTAAGTATTTGTAATATTGTAGTAGTGTGCTCTGTTTATTTGCCACATCCAACTCTATTGTAAAGTATCGAATTGGAAATGCAGGAAGCATTGGAATTGATTCTAATTATCACTTTTATATAATTAGAATACTTAAGGTATGCCAATAATATTTACATCACAAAATTTATCTTTATTATTATCTACTTAATATATTTATAAAAAAATCATCGACATAAATATGTGGATCGCGGCTTGATCCACGAATTAATATGTTGTGTATACTATGATATGTTGTCTATTACACACATATTAATGAAATGAAAATAACCTACGATTACTACTAATTATACGATGGTCCATCGGGTGTCAATGATACATGAAAAGTAAGGATATCAAAAATTTCGTACTGTTACTACGTATCATATTTATTTATTCTGTGCTGTTACCGAGACCTTTCACCTATCACGTACATAAATAGATATGACCCTGGCTTATACTTTTACTCTTATCTTGTGCCTATATTTAGTCGTGCACCTTGTGATTAACTATGTAAATTTGAAAAATGAGTTCCGATTCTCGCGATGGACTTGTTGCCATGAGCACAATGTTTATACCGAACACATTACAGATCTGCTATCTATCTGTCATATAAATATACTCATATCAAATTGCAAGTGGTCTGACAAGCAACTTAAACCACGTCCTGTGCTATTTGTGCATTTCAATGGAAATTTTCGCAAAAGCAACTCATAGGTAAAGGTATATTAGTAAAAGTAAGGAAAGAAGACAGAAGGTATGAAATATCAGAGAAGATTAATTTTAGTACATTTAAACAGGTACTTATTAGGTAAGTAATAATATATCTATCTCATATATCAATTATCTTTCTTCAACCTAAATAATATCTAAGAAAATAATTATTCAGATCAGTAATAAAAAAAAGCAATAAAGACTCTATGCTTGGAAATGCGAATGAAAAATTCAAATGGCATACATACTGCGGCTACAGCTGGATTAGACATCATTTCCATCTTCGAGACGACGGCAAAATAGGCTAAGTTCGCCATAACATAAATAATGGTCACCATAGGCATTGCGATCCATATGGCACGCGGCAAATTCCTGAAATAAAACGAAACGAGACACGCATTAGAAATTACACCCACACAATTAAATGGCGAATATAGAGAAGTATGTGCATGAGTTGTAATACAAAAATAATCTACGTTTATGTTTCACATATTCTATTGTTAATTTCGAGAGGTTCATTAGTAAAGGCACTTCATGAAACATTATCAATATCTGAATTAGGAATCTGAGGAACTGCGTTGAGATCGACATGATAGGATATATTGCTAGCAATGGAGCAGTTAGACCCCATTACTAACAATCCCCCACCCCCCCGTTGTAATCAATAGGCACATACAATGTCAATATAGATTGGCATGCAGAAATACGTAAATTCTAATAATAAACTTTAAGTATACATAAAGTTTATTTGATTAATGTATATTAATACCAATAAACTTTCTCTAATGAACTAGGTATCTACTGATTAAAATTCGACGCTTCGAATTTTGAGATTCGCTCATTCTAATAAAGATAGATGAAAGACGCAATACGCCCTTATACCATATCTAAAGATACGACTTTATACTATGAATAGATATACACATATACAGATGACTACCGTCACTACTAGATAGCTTACATATTTGCTTATCATCAACGCTTATAACAGCGATAGACAGAAAATATCGAAGTTGATTTTGTAAGTCAAAACGAAAAACGCTTGTCAGGTAATGCAAAAATAACTATAATTTGAAAATAATCATTCATCGAATCACCGCCGCATAAAGTATTTTAGTAGAAAACAATTTAAAAATTAAAGAGTCACGTTAGTAATTTTTGTTTGGATATAAGAAAAATATACCTACAGGTCCACCGATCTTGGCTTGCAGCCAAGCCGTAATAAACTGGTAATGAATTCATTTTTATACTCGTTTTTTTTTTATGAATATTACTTAAACTTAAAATATGCTCACACCTGTAACCTCAGATGTGGTACTCGAATGTAATGGTCTAAATCTGTTGTCTGATAGACCCCTGTAATGAATATAACAATCGACTCGGCGAGTATGTATTAATTCAACATACAAACGTCTTCAGTATTAAATCACACTTCAATCGAATCATAAAAATGGCATACATATCACTTTTATTACTACATATTACGATACTTCACATTACTGTTATCGGAACAATAAGGACTTCCTGACACAACTGTAAAAGGGCTGTATAGTAAATATATATGCATACTATTACAAATATGTGATGCAAGTATAATCACAGAAAAATTCAAAACTGTTAAACAGAAAATATCAATTTGTAGTACTGCTGTTTGCCGGTAAACGCTTCATTTGAAAACAAGTACAACGATCTGGCTATTTTTATTATATTCTTAATAATCTATAAACGTTTCTTATACAGAAAAAGAACTGTAATTTAATTCTGTTACTACTAATGTTTCTACGTTTCTATACATACCTTAAAATATATCTACTCACTTAGAAGTTTACACTATTATACTGCACATCATATACATAGCATAGTCAGAGCATTTTATTATTAGAAAGAAAGAAAACATTTATTGCCAACAACAAAAAGAGTTACATTTATTATTAATAGGAAACAAATTTTACATTTGTTAATGCCAACGTGGTCGCCACTTAGCATGTGCTGCAGCGAATTAATTGCTACAGCGCTGATATTCTGTGGTGGCCATGCGCAACATCACAAACGACAGCAAAATAAATAAATAAAAATATAATGGAACTTAGACAGTTATTAGTTCTTATGAGACAGGCACAAGTTATATTACAATAATAAGTTCTAAACGTAAATATGAGTACATATGAAGTAGCCATTAGGCAATTTTTCCAAGTAGGAAATATTGATAACGTGTCAGGCCATGATTGATGTAGACACTAGACACCTTCCATTGCACATATCACCTCTTATAAGAAATATATTCGGGTGCTAAACGTATAGTCATGAGATACGTATGAATAATACATGCAATAGGGTAGAGTGCTGAGAGTCCCAGGCGCAAGTAACTTCGTATAGAATCAAGTCGATTCAGTTCAATTTACAAGAGTAGGTACTTATGTCTTCGTTGACTGAACAATCACTTTATTATTTGTGTAGATACTTGATAGATTTCTATACAGTAACGGAATAAAAATACAATACTGATACAACTTTCATCCCAAGAAAATGGTACAAGGCGACCAAGGAAATAAAGCGCAATACACCGTTCAAAAGAACAACTCAAAATTACTCGTAAATATAACTACTTAATTGTATACTAAACTATCTGAAAGGCTCGGTAGTAGTATACAGCTACTGTTATCTGCTTATAATAATATATAAGAGACCTGTTCCCAGCAGTGGGACGTTAATATAACGTTAACCTACTTTACAATTGATTGAAGATCAGAAAAAGTCGTTTATAAGAAATAATAAAATAAAGTTTATTAAAGTAATACGAGATCGCAAGTTTAATTGATTAAATTACTAAAATTAATCTAGAGTTTTTTTTATTATATTTATATTGTGTAAAAAAGCTGATTAGGTGCATATTGTATGACGTACCATAGTACTTTTTTTTAATTGACGATAATGGAATGGTAGCCCCACCCGCGCTATCGGTATACACCGACGGGGCACAGTGACGGATGATAGGTGAGGATGAAGCAGGTCAGTTAGCCCATCGTGACGAATTCAACAAGAATTGTTCACGATGGTTTCCAGGGGAAACCACGTGGAGGTCGACCTAATAAGACATATTGCTAGCAATAGGGCTTTAAAACTCCATTGCTAACAATCCCTTTCCCCCCGTACCATAGTATTACGTATATACCATAGTATAAGAATCCCAAAAAATATATACTATTTTTTATTTACGCATAATGTTACAAATTAAACAGCATTAAACATCCAAACTATGCGTCAATTAAAATATTTTTTGTAACAAATTAGTTTAATAATATTTCATTTCCTGTTATAAATAGGTACCTACGAATAACAGAACAGTTCTAGATGTTAGTAAAAAATCAGACGATGTGTACACAAACGTTTGATATCTGATAGTCTTAAGCCTTATAATAAGTAAGGGGAGCCGTATGAGCTAATAGTTCCAAGTACTATTTGACGAACTCTCACTCGGCTATTTGCGGTTTTAATTCTCAATTGACATATAATAATCTAGATGTGGAATTGTGGACTATAAATTTTTTCTAGCACTAAGAGCAACGATTTCTTGTTTAAAATAATACTAAAACTGACTTTAGTAATCTAATTAACGTCTGGATTGCATATGTATATTTTAAATTCAACAAAGGCTCTATTTATATTGATTTAAGATTTTAGCTTTTAAGCTACTTCAAAAGCATGAGATTGTCTATTCGATGTGTATATTTAAAAGTCTATAAATATATTATGCAATATTTTCAAGTTATGATTCTTCATTGTAGATTTCTTTTTTGCAATCGCTTATCGGTAAATTGTCTTAAATCCGTATCAATTTTGCCACATTTCAAGTCGTTATTTTTTGCTATATCTTCTAGTGGCAAAATTTTTAGAGCGATGAAAAGCACAACATACAAAATTAGATTTACGAGACTTTATATTTATTCATAGTAATTTTATGATCCTCATAATATAAATGAATGAATGAATCAAAAATAAAAATAGATGGAAAGCTAGTTATCTCTATCACAGATACTAGTACTATACTAACGCGTATCTCTATTAATGCAGAATCGTAAGAAAATAAAATGCAAATCATAAGTCAAGCCAGTACACAAGACTAAATGAACAGAATTGTTTTACTATGACTGATCACAGATCCCAGCGTTCAACGGCAACAAATTAAATCATACGCCCAAAATATTCAAAGTTCATTGAGATCTCGAGCTTAGATTATAATCTCAAGATATTATATAATAAAAAGGAATTAGGATTGCATATAAACTGCACGGAGATAATGTATGAAAGTAACCATTAATAATTATCGATGATACGATGCAACCATTACATTTATATGTATGTATGTGGATAACCAATAGTTTTACGTGACTATAGCCAAAATTATATTAACTCAAATATAAATTATTATATTTGAGTAATGCAATAAGTATACCACATGATTTATATCTTATGATAGCAATAAGTTACAAGTATCAACTGTGCGAATAATATCATAAAAATACTTAGAAGCACGTACATCCTACGTGATTCTAAATAATGATGGCCATTAAGGAAACACGAATAGGTTATAGAAATGATATTATAAAATTCTTTTTCTTCCTTAAAATACATTTCGTGAAATTTCTATCGAGCATCTTGTACAAAATACGAGTATATGTCGATAACATCTCTGAAATTTAGCAGAAACAGACTTAATCGTTTCAGAAATAATCTAATGGGTTCCCATTGGATATTCGTCATATCAGCCCTTAACTGTCCACTGCTGAACATAAGGCTTCCCCAGAAGGGAAGTTTTGTCAGTAGTTGCCACGCTTGGCGGATGGATTGCGAACTGCAGTTAAGCTTTTAGTGATTTTTAAAAGGGACGCTGCTGCCCATCCCTTTATCATTAAGTTCCCTTAGTCACCTCTTACGACATTTATGGGAAAGAAAGGGATAGTCCATTATATTCCAGGACATTCACGGCGATCCTTATTCGCGAATAGATTCCTTAATGTTGTTTAAATAGTAGTTTCTGGTAAATACTCATAGATGTATTTAAGAGAGTGATGATGAATAGTGGAGTAGGCACGGTCGACTTGGTCCCCCAGGTCGACCGTGCCTACTCCACTATTGTTTGGTGCCTACTCCAGGATCAGGAAGAAAGCCTTGAGCTATGCAAAAAAGCATGTCTAAAAACACATACGCGCTTTTTTTAGGGCGCCCCAGCTTTACTCGTGATTAATATAATCTTAAATGCGCCAACCTAGATCCTTTAGAATGCACACACCAAAGAAGATATATCACCACACCAAGTTATAATTATTTTTTTACTATTATTTTTATTTTAATAATAATAATATATTTTTTATGCATTTGATTTTACATTTATATATTTATCTCTAGTAATAAACAAGTTAATACATAGTAAAGTCTTGCAGAAGGCCATAATAAAAATGTTATGGGCATGATACTTACTTATAGGGATCTTGTAGTTCTTCTGTGACGAAATTGAGATAATTCCACCCTCCGAAAGCAAATAGTCCAGAGTAAAATGCTAGAGCGATGTTTCCAGCACCATACTCGCCTTCAAACGGTCGCTCAAAATTCTCCGTGTGACCTAAAATATTGTATTCATATTTATAATCGTAGTTGATAACACAAAGTGCTACGTACAAGGCTGTTCTCAGACATTAGATTGGAAAAAACATCGAAGTCATAAATCGCATGATCTGTTGACTATTAGAATACCTAGATAAATCCGATTACTAAGAACTAATTATTCACCAAAAATTAAAGACTCTAATCTTGAATATAGTTCGATCGAGCTGTATTATTATATAAAATACAAACTCAGAATCTAGATGTAGAATAAAGAATCATTAGATCAATCATTAACTCGATCACTTTTCAGTGAACCACTGAGTTCATGAGGGGTATCATGGGCGACATAGTACACTCACCACCACTTTTCATCAAGGAGAGCTTCAGCTAGTTTGCCATTATATGTTCATACAAAAGTTCGACTTTATTTTACCTACAACCTAATTAAAAGTAGATATTATAACTATCGTATTCAAGATAGAGACACGGTTTTTATATCACCCAAATACAAACTTATATTTTGAAGTCTATAACCACTACACTACGACACTAATAAACTAAAATAATGTCTTTTATATAGTAAAATTAATTGTCCAACTCTATCAGTTGAGTACGCACCGCATACAAGAAAATTGTAGAGCTTTCTCGAAACAACTCAATAAATATGTACTTTATTACCGACCCGTTCCTTATCCAATAACCCTGTTGATAGCAATAAATGTACAAGAAGAACATATACATATAATCATCAAATTGTACATTTAAATTGACCATAATTAAGAATGAAGTGTAGTTTGAATTCTTCTTCAAATAAAAAATATTACTGAAGATACCTACTTGACAACAAGAACGATTTACATTTATCTGCTAGTTTTATTATTAGTAGGTTAATAACTAATATTTTAATAATTAATGTATTTTATAATTAACTGGCATTCGTTTGCCGATGAATGTTTACAACATATCACAAAATTTTATAGTTTCCCATTTCTATTTTCCGAGGTAAATAACGAAAATTAAAAGCATAAGGACTCCTAACCTTACAAGTACTTATTAACTTACCTATACAAATATAATAAATTCCCGATATAATGATTACCACCAACGCCAACAATTTCGAAGTTGTGAATACATCTTGAATACGCATCGTCCACCGTACACTGATGCAGTTAATTGCTGTTAAAATACCTGAAATAAGATGAATATTTGAAATAAGATATTGACTTAAGAGCTAAATATATTCATGTAAACTATAAAAATAAATAAACTAACTAACAAAGAGCCAAATAGGTATAATATTAGGCTCTTTGTTAGTTTATTGCAGATTTATATTATTATTTTCTATATTTATTTATATATCCATATTTATTATGTCTCATTGTTTCGTATAAAAATAATATAGAGTTTATTATGTCAAACACTTTCAAGGTAAACCTGTCAGCATACTAAATAGTCAAACACGGGAATGATCTTGTAAGACCACTCTCATATTAATTTATTTCATGTTTATGTTCATTAAGATGATTCGTATTTGCATACCTAGATATATGGTTTATAGGAATCCGTAATCAGATGATACTTACAATAAACAACAGCTAATGGTAAAAGTAAGCGATAATCAGGACAAAGAGATTTAAAGACAGGTTTTTTTTGTAGCATAAGTGCCCAGGAGGGGCCTAACATGTCTATGTAGTTTATGGATAAACTCATCGACACAGCAAGTAATCACTACGTTCAACGTATTATGAATATTGATTTTTTTTTCTTTTAATTTTGGCAAAATGTAAATATTATGCATTGTGGCATAATGGACAGCATTAGCCCTAGATAATGGATAAACGGGAAACGAGGCAGGATATTAAGAAAGAACGGTAAGGATTTTAGTATTAGTGATAACTACAGTTTCAATCTAATTAATATATATTATTTTCTAATATTTCTTCATTTTTACTCATACTCTAAAGTGAAAATACCAATTTTCAACTAAATATTAGCCGTTTGCTATTGTTAAATATGAATCATTTAATAAAAAAAAAAACCTTGCAAATTTTCTATAAATATAGTGAATCAAATTTCAGAACGCAATAGATTTTGAGTTAGGAGTGCACCGGCTTTCAAAATATCGTTTCGAAAAGAACACCTTTAATTTTTTATAGTATAAAATTACAAATTAAACGTCAATAAAGTGGATCTCTAAACAATACAATAATACATTGCAAAAAGGTTAAATTATAAAACTTACCCTTATAAAACATACCCGAATAAATGTTTTGTAGGAGATAAAAAATTGTTCTTTAATTTGCTCAATTACGGCCAGGCAGTTGTTTTCGTTCTTTTAGAGTAATAGAATCAAAAGGCCGCACAGATATAATGCCATAACCCTGTTAGTCTTTCTTCGATTAACTTAAAATTTTTACTCACTTTATTAAATAAAAAATAGAATGTTTTGCCTCAAAGAACCTTAAGAAGTAATATCTAAAGATTAATTATTCAAATATAGATTAACAGCTGGATTAGCTATTAATCCATATATGAATAATTTACTCTGATAACATACTTTTATCTGGATATATATCATTATTTTAGCTGTCATACAAGTACGACTATTATACTAATCTTATTTGCATTTAAATTTTGCTCATAAATATCACAATTTCTGTCATTAGTGAATTGCTCTGTTATATCTATGGGACTGTTTATGTCTATAGATGACTGTTAACGTTTTCCATCAGGTGAGCCTTCTGCTTGTTTGCCAATCTACATAGGTGAATAAAATAAAATAGCTTTTATTATTTTTTACTCAAGGTATTCCAAATAAACCATAATATACAAATGTCAAACTCGGACAGCCGGTATAAATTAAGCAGACAAACAGAATATTTATAATATCATATTCATAAATGATATCAAATTGGAGGTTCTCAAGTTGACTGAACTTTTTTTCAATTGTTACACGACGTCGTTACAAATTCTTTAATGATTTAATTTTTTCCTAAAATAGACCTCAATAGATATCAAATAGGTATAGATTGATGGACTCACATTTATTTGGAAGGACATAATAGACAAAAATATATTGGCATTTCGGATTTCATTTAGCTAAATAAGTCTATACAATGAAATTTATACATATTATATTATTTCTGCAATTAATTTCAAATTAATAAGAAGATAGTACTTATAATTTCCGATAATCGAGACTTTTTCTTTCTATTTCAAAGACGACATCTGAATTAAAACAGTTATTTATGCCTAAATATATTTATAGTTGATTGATGTCGTTATTTTGTTTTAATTCTAGAATATTATTCTATTAATTTCCATCCACGAATTTTATTGTAGAATAGATCAAGAAAAGGACGTTTCTACTCGTATACATAAACGCATAAAAGTATGTAAATAATAATAAAAACTAGAGATAAGTCCATTAATCTTTCCATATTGCCTGAAGATTTGTTTATTAGATGCCATTAAAAGAAATTATTAAATAAGGATGATCTAAGAGATCGTATTATAACAGTACCTACCTAATGTGATTACAAATTAATACAATAATCAAAAGAATAGTACTTATTGTCTATCCAGCAAAATATTATAAAAATAAATCATATACAATATTGTATAACGTTTACAAAAAATATAAATATTATTTGCACAATTTTTTATAACGTTTATACAAAAAAAAAACTTAATATTATTCGCTCGAAATTAAATAGGTACCTGAAGCGATATTTTTAGTTATAAGGGCAATATATTAAATAAGCGATGAATTTATGAATCAATAATTATATAGGGTCGCGTCAGGAGATTGTTAGTGAAAAAACGGCATAAATATCCAAGTGTCTTATAAGTATGCCGTATAGCATAACAATTAATTGACACGGCTCTCTCTCTTCATATTGACCTAATTATAACACTGACTTGCTAGTACGGTATACCTAGTTTTATTTAATGTTTTCCTTCCCTTATGCTGGTGTATTGTGTGTGCGATACCTCAAGGATTCAAAGGAGTAGTGATGCATTGTATTTTTATTACATCACCACACAGAAGACCAGTATCTATATAACTCTAAGAGGAACAAACCAAATGAAACTCGAATTATTCAATTTAGAAATACATTACAAAAAATAACTGAATAGATAAATTAAGACTGAAAACAAAAAATGAAACGTAACCTTGGCATGAAACAGTATGTTTAATTCTAATTAGGTATTAGTAAGTTTTTTCTTTAGCTGTACAATATTTACCCTTCAATATTTTATGGTTTTCTTCCACCTTCTCAATGGTTGACTGTAAGAAATCCGTCTATGGGATACCTAAGTCCGCCATTATACATATTAAATCTTTAATGTGTCTAATGTATGTACAATTTCACAATACAATACATAGCTCTTAAAAAATTCTTAAACCCATTAAAAAATGTACCTAGTTATATTAACCTTTCTGCGTCTCAAGTACTCCATTAGCAATGTTATCTGCAGATAACATTGCTAATGGTGTCTACGTTAACGCATTTCTATTAACAAAGGTAATAACGGAAGTTTATGTCTCAGCAAATTGGTCTATAATACATAGTACGGTCTTCAGAATAATAAGAACTTACCCAAAGGTTGTTCACAGATTTATAAACAGTAAACTGAATAAATCAAAGTATTCTACTACTACTTCTGAACTAATCTCGAATCCTACTTCTGAATTAATCTCGAAGAGTTACTTTGTATGGATAAGACAAACTTCATAAATAGATCCTATATATTCATATTTAGATACCTAAATACGTAATACCTAAGTATTACCTATTTTAAATCTCTTTTTTTACAGAAAGTCAGTAATTGACCTTTAATTTTTATTAACTAAACAAACTCTAACTAAATATTTTACAGACAAAATATATAAAAAGATCCTAAAATTTTACAGCTTATGTTTCTGTACTAATATTATAAAGAAGAAATATTTGATTATTTGTAATGGATGAACTGAAAACCTACTTGACCAATTTTATATATTTTTTCACCTACAGTAAGCTACATTATCAACCAGTATACCTATGCCATATTATATGGCAATGTATAGTCCACGCGAGTAAATAAGATTTAATTCCTGAAAAAAAAAAAACTAATTATTTTGATTAAAGGACTAAACTACCAAAGCGATTTTAAAAATAATTCTTTATGGGCAATCTGTATGTACATTCTTTGAGATAAAAAAGAATTTTTGAAATCCATTTATAACTGACGAAGTTATGAGGTAACCAGCATAAAAAAAATTACAACCGAACTGAGAACCTCTTTCTTTTTAAAGTCAGTTGAAAATGGAGTTTATTTCCGATGAAGTGACTTCCTCTGTCAAGTAATTGGGTTAAGTGGAGGCGTCCGCCGCGCACCGATCTCAACTCCGCTGAGACGCAATGCAATCAAAGAAAATTATCAGACAACCATCACTTGAATTCACTCCCCAAGCGTCCGCAAGGATGGTAAATGAAATACAAATAATCAAATTATTTATTAGATATACTATGAGCGCTGTGCCACACGGTGCGGTGCGGGTGGATACGTCATGGAAACAAAAAAGCTGCCAAAACGTTAGTCGTTAACAACACCATACCACAATGCACAAAGTAGTTAGAAAGGGATGTTGGTAATAGGATCTAAAAACGCCATTGCTAGCAATATATCCTATAACATCGATATCTACGTAAATCCTCCAGGAAGCTATCGTCTTTAATTTTTGTTGAATTCATCACGATGGGCCAATTGACTAGCTTTCATCTTCTTCTATCATCTCTCCTCTATTATCCCACGAGCGTACAAGTATTCTATTATCAACAATTATAACAAAAAAGCATAACGAATATAAACACTCGACTTCTTCACAAACTTAACGCCCTTTTTAACATTATCTAATATAACCGTAAATATCTAAACAATATGCATTTCAATTTTTAAACATAAAAATGTAATGGTAACCACGTGTTTGATATTTATTTTAAATTATACAAATTTTCTTAAACACCTTGTGTCAAAATGTGTACCTACCTATATTAATAAAAATCAGACTAATTACTTTAAATATAATAAAATATTAAAATTATTATATAGTTCAATTTTATTAATGTATTTAGAATTAACATCTACGTGCTATAAATATCAAGAACAAGTTGTTATTATACCAAATTTTGTAATGAATT